TGAAATAAAGTCACTGCAACATGATACACTTCGCTCGTTTGCTTTTAAGATTATGAGTGTTCGAGTGAATTTGAGTTATGTATACTGATATTGGGCATGAAATAGAAGGTGTGGGATATCGAACGTCATCGGAAGTACTCACAAGACTTACGGACGATGCAAAACTGTTTAATCAGCATATCCCGCCCATATAATTGTGACTTGGTGGTTTTTCACATTTATGCTAAAATCTTGGAAGTTTCATGTTAGAAATAAACCTTCGTGCTTTTCTGAAAATTTTGGTTAAGAAAATTTGAGCTTATAATTGCTAAAGAATACATTTAAATTTATATGTTTGTAAATGATGATCGTCCAGGTTAATAAAGTCCTGAGAAGGACTGTTTTGATGTTGTTGACTGACGTCTGACAACTTTAGCGGTAGTCATCTTCAGAGTCAAATGAGGTAAACGTCAGGTTAGCCGTATTTGTTGTCTGGTTCTTACGTCATTGTATTGTGTGTACAGGAAATGTGCAGGAAATGTATTGTCATTGTGGATTAGTGTGAAATATTTTATTTTTAGTTGTGATGTGATTTAAGGTAACGTTTTTTAGTTGTAGTGTGTGGGTGTCAATTGTGTTGTCTTGTGAATTAGTTTGAAGTGTAATGTTTTAGTTGATCGTTTGTTTGTATTCTTGAATAAGTCGTTTGTAAGGTGCCGGTAATTGCTGTGATCTAAAATCCACGAACAATACCAACAGCCTCAATAAAGTCCGATAAAGTCCCAAGTCCGATCAGCAATAAATCGAGAAGATGGCAACAATGTGCTACAGTCTGAATATGCTCAAATAGTTTAGCGAATTAACTATCATTCTTGTAAATATTTTTTTATGGTGCAAGCACTTTACATGTTTTTCTCTGAGCCGTCGATACTTATGCAAACTTAATAGTAAGCTCAATTTCCTTGTTTCTTTAAAATGTTACTGAACTCATAAAAAGCTTAAAAGTTTAAACTTTTATTCGCGACTGTAGGTAGGTCATAGTGTGGTATGCTTTAGTCAGTAGAATTTTAGTCTTACTTGTGACGTTTCTCCTAATTAGTACCAACCTTGTCACTTGGTTTGAAGAGCGTTACTCATACAAAATTATTAATTTTAACATACAATTATGAAATATTACAGCTTTTCGAACAAGTCAAATGTTTCACACACATACAACCTTGTGCTGGAATTTATTGATTCATTGTACCAGTTTTACGTAAATAAAATTGTCAAGTAAGTCTGCCGTACAAACAGTGCATTAATTACAATAATACAAATTAAAGAAGATAAAATCCTAATTAACTTCAGTCTGTTGTGCTTCATCTGTTTGCGAGGTGATATCTCCTTTGGAGGTCGATTTCGTTTAAAGAATCCAAGCTAAAATACATAAAATAACTTGTAATGTGAAATCTATTTTAAAAATCATTTGGCTACTAAACATTCCCGGGAGATGTTTGCGAGAACTTTCGAGCAGATGCAATTTAAAAGCCTGTGCAAACACAGTAAATATCTTTTATTCCTTAAATGCTACATGCAGTGCACGAACAGAGATAAGACCTTTCCATAAGAAAGAAAATTAAGGAGTATAGCACAGTCTTGTAGAGTGGTAAAAGAAATACTACTAACAATAACAACTATGTAACTGTGACAAACACGAATTACGCGACATCTACACATGAGTAAGTCGTGGTAAAAATTAATAAAACATAAATGGCCATCCTGACTTTAAAAAAAAAAATTACGACTGCCAAAGAGTATTTTGGTAAAACACGACAATAGACACTCCGTAAACAGTAAACATAATTTAATCTAAACGTTCCGACAAATGTTACATGCCATCTTCAGTAGAAACTGTTTGCTTTTTGGCCTAAACTCTGCGTCACTTATCCTAAACTTCACCAACTTGCTGTTGCTATTTTAAAAAACAATTTCTACTGAAGATGACATGTAACACTTGTCGAAACGTTTAGATTAAATAATGTCTACTATTTACCGAGTGCCTATGGTCTTGTGTTTTACCCTCCTGAATTTATTATATCAAATTCAAACCTTATTAACACAAAACTTTTTTGCTTACTTTGAATAAAGCGAAAATACAAAGAGCCAGCAACAAAACACCACCAAGCACAGAGACAATAATAACCCACACTGGAGTTGATTTGGATTTTCCAGGAGCATTTTCAGGAGTTACTCGAATTGTGACCTACAATAAACGATAATGTAAAAAAACAACGGTTCAAACAAACTCAGAACGCCTTCCTTAAGGGTAAACCTGTATGAAAGTTATCAAACATGTATAAAAATTCGCATGTTTAAGAAAAAGTAAAATTGCTAACCTCCTGATGTCCACGATGAGGTGATTCGCTCTCATTAAGATTGTTGACATATTCAGCATTAAATTGGACAATCATGAGAAGATCTTTAGGATAATACTAAATCCGTATAATAAAGTTGCACATATTAATGGCAAAGTTTTGCAAATTTCAAAAATACTTATGGCAAAGTTTGGTAGTTGATAACGCAAATACCGAATACCACCAGAATACCGGTAAATACAGGTATACCGACATCCGAATACTGGTATATACAGGAATACTAACATCAGAATACCGGGACATACATGTATACGGACATCAGAATACCAGTATGTAAAGGTACACCGACATCAGAATACCGGTATATACAGGTATACCGACATCAAAATACCGGTATATCAATAGTGAATTTGAAGTTTATTCTTTGAAAATAAAAGCATATAGCACGTGTTTCCACGAAAAAACAACCAAAAATATTTGTTCTTCAAATAGAATTTTGACGCCTTTTTAAAATAGGTATTTATGTATTTGTCTTTGAATTGCTAAACCAAAACTGCCGAATCGTAAGATGTATTTATGAGGTATGTTATTATTAAGATCATGTGGCTGCATGTTTTAACTTTAGTTTGTAAACGTGATTGTGATAAGTTCTACTGGACGACACTTTCATTTCGTTACTACGCAGTATAAAATACCAAAATAACCGTATTCATGTGTACAAAATACCAAAACCGATTTCAAAATAAATTTTGATATACCGGATTTCAATAATCAACTCTCATTCAACTACTGTCTGTGTTGGGAAGTTGTTGATGCAACACACCTCGTCAAAGTATTTTGGAAGTAAGAAATGTATTGCCACAAATGTTCATTTATTTTATGCCTTACCGCAGCAAGAGTCGCAGTCCACAGTCGCACATTTAAGTCTGCCACAAAACGACCATTTCTTTTAATTTCTTTGATTGTACAAGTCACCAGTCCTGAATCCATCGTCCGAGGTGACTAGAAAGAAGAAAGTTTGACAACAATGGAAAAAATTGAATCAAAGGCATTGCACCTGACTCGTGGATGAGATGAAAAACAAATTCGAAGCAGTTTGAATGTTTTGATTAAAACAGACTAAGTAATTCATCAATATTACTTGATGAACAACGATACAGGCAAAAATAACGCGTTTTTTTGTATTTGGCAAAACACATAATTTAGATTCTAGAAGACACTTTTAAAGTAAAGTATTCTTAATACTTGAGAAGAACTCGAATATCTAAAGCTTTAGGCAATAAAACAAATAATAAAAAATACTGTGGATAATTTATCTAAAAAGTTCCAGTATAAGTTGTCTGTTGTTATTTTGCCACTTCTAACCCGGCTGCAAAACTCCAAGCCATTTCATACAAAACGAGATTTAAATCAAAGTAATTGCACTATCGCCTCACAAACTTGGGTCAATTTTCAGATATTTTGCTTTCGTAGTGGTCGATCTTATTTTATTTAAACCATTGTCTAAGATAAACTGCAATCGTGACCATACCAGAGTTTCTGTATTTCTTCTCCGTCTAGTTCTTCCTTGCGAGTCCTGATAAAAAAAATATGTCGGTGACAAGGCATCCACGAATTTGAATTTTCTTAAAGTGTATATAAAGTGAAAGTTTCATACACTTGAACAAATATTCAGACTAATAAAATAGAGACTTTGTCGTGGTGACAAATCTAAAAATAGTTCTAAGTGCTATTTGCTATCTTTAGAACTATTTTCAAATATTCAGACGTTTACAAGGATTTTGATATATTTATGACCAATACAAGTTGAGTGAAAAGTGACAAAGTTAAACACCCAAAGTCGTCCTCGCCTGCAACCTTTTGGCCGCTCATCTGACGTCATACAGAATACGGAAGTCGCCAAGGTAATAGTAACTGATATTTCAATGGTGAGAATGTGTACTTCTTATGATGAAAATTTAGCTAGCATAGCAGCCAAAACGTTCGCCAAAAAATTGTCAGAAATCGTCAATTTGACGGCTATAAACTCGCTCTGAAAAGACTACATTTAATTCCCTTTGCGAAAAAACGGAATTGACAGCATGTACTTTTTACAAAGCCAATAAAAAAAGGGAACAAACACTTCTCTAAGATAGCACTTTAAATGGCTATAAGTTGAATATAATTAAAATTAAATATGAGTAGAGACATATATTTAACATAGAATCAAACTATGTGCTTATATTTAACATATTAGTGTTTGCATCGGTCGTTTTGTTGGTAGAAATCCCATATAGTGAAAAGAATTTATGTTGATTTCATGTTCTGTTGAGCATTGGCACTTTGATATAACGTTAGACGTTTTAATTCTAATAAGTTCTATTTATCGACACAAAGAACGGCAAACTTAAAAATCTGTAACCAGCAAATGTGCAACTCGCAAAAATAATTAAGTTAAATACATGTTTGTAGATGTAGATCGTCCAGGTTAGTATAGTCCTGAAAAGGACTGTTGTTGTTGTGTTGACTGACGTTTCGACAACCTTAGTGGTGTTCATCTTCAGAGTCAAGATGAGCTGAGGATAATTTGACTCTGAAGATGACTACCGCTAAGGTTGTCAAAAGTTAAGTTAATTGTTAAATACATCGCGCAGTCTCAAACAATTAGTTTATTCCTGGTTATTCTTACCGCCAGTTAAGGACAGGTTAGCAGGATTCAAGGCTCTTCCACTGCATACTGCGTTTTGGCATCACCTCCCTGAAACGACATACGTTACTTAATGTTCATTAAACAGTTGGTAAAGATGTAAATAAGATTGTTTACAGAAACGTCTTAAACCTAATGCTTTATATCAAAAATTGTTTGTGTAGTTTACATCAAACAAACAAAACATAACATTTATGACATAGAAACAACAATTTCAACATAGCCTTGTAAACATTTCCACCATAGCCTAGCAAACTTTTCCACAGTGCTTTACAAAAACTAAACAAAATTAAACTGTGAACTCTCCCATTCCAATAATCCACTTCGATAAATTCACAGAAAAACATCGCCGATGTAAAACATTGTCAAAATAAAAATCATACAACTGCCAGAACTGACCTTAATACTGACAGGATACAGAAGATAATTGAATTCCTTGTCTTTTCGGTTAGAGGGACGCTTATATGAAGTTTCACATCTTCTAAATCACTTTGACCTTGATTTGCAACCTAAATGAAGAATAAACGTCGTAAGAAACCTATAATGAGATCCAATAGATTGAAAACAACTCAAAAGTTGACGGGCATTTATGTTAGGTAATATAATGCATGCATATAGAGGTACGTCAGATGTCTGATTTAAGTCACAAAAGCATCATCAAAAAGTCATAGAAATCACATATATATTGAGACAAGAAATTTAGAAATATTTTCAATGGAACCAAATAGCGAAGATAATTTTCTTTTTCATAGTTAGGAGGTGACCACTACAATGACTATATAACTAATTATTTCTTCGTTATACGGGATTATAGTTTTGAAAAGAATAGTGGTGGAAGGGAAATTCATCTTCTCCTTACCTCGATGGTAATGGTTATTGGTGGTCCAATAGAAGAAATGTTCACAGAGCTATAGTCATTGTCTATTATATTTAAATCAGGACCTTTTTCTGGATAGTCTAGTGACTTAGGAACAGTTGTGCTAAAAACACAAAGTTCATCTTTTAAATAAATGTTTTAAAGTTTATATGTTGGTAATATTGATAACAGTGGCGGATCTAGGGTACGTCAAAATTACTGTAGCACATTTTAGCATGTATTAACATTTCTAAGTACATCAAAAAAAAGGCGAATCCATTATAATTACATTCTTCGGAAATTCAAAATCAGCGTTTTCTGAGAGTACTTTGACTTTAAAATTGAACAGCTATAATTTATTTTGACGAACGCTGGATCCGCTATTGATTGATATTACATTTGACCAAAGTGCGCATCTGCAAAAGGTTGTTTACGATAGATGACCGATTTACGTGTATTTAAAAGACAACGAGTGCAACGGTAGCTAAGTTACATCAATATCCAATGATTAGCTTGTAAAAGTTCTTTACAATTCACAATACTCCTAAGTTTTCAGACACAGCAGTCTTCTTAGTGAGATGCAACTTAACCAAACTTAAAATAAAAGCAGATAGTCCCACATACCCGGTAATTTGTAGTCTGACATTGCGCTTGACAATCATAGAAATGTTGGCGTTGTTAATCTCTCTTCCGCTTAGCCTAAAACAAAGTAAAAACATAAGAAAGAAATCAAATGACATGTAATGTTAAGAATTAACATCACAAAAGCACATAACGCATTGATTGTATGAAAGAGTTTGCTAAATTCGAGGCTAAATTACAAAGATCGATAACCATCTAAAACAATGAAAGATCTCTTTCATAGCTTATTTATATACGTTACTGTACAAACACAACACCAAGCAGGAGAAGCGAACAACACTGTTCAAAAAAACCTATGTTATCATCAGATTGAATAGATCAATCTCGTGGATCCACGATTTTGTAAAGAATTATATTTCTCAAGAATTCTAATATTCAGAAAATTATATTCCTCGAGGATCAGTTATAATGAGGTTAATGTAATTGATCATATGTAACACAAAATATTAGTTGTACGCACGGTTCAACGTAGCGTTTATAAAGCCACAAGAAGCATGTAACTTTAACAAATACTCCGTCTGATATGGCAAATAACCAATTAAAATATAAAGAAAACAGACTTACGCGTTCACCCTAACAAAATTTCCAGATTCTTTTTACCAACTACAGCGGTGGTCGAGTATGTAATTTCCAGTGTCACCTGTCAAAAAATCTAAAGATTAACTTTACGCTCACATAGTTTATATCAGTTGTAAAACTTCTCAATTAAAAAATACGCCGGTCTTGCATGCTACGCGCATGTGCGCCGAAAAAGTAAGCAGATCTTCTCCTGATCTTCTTTCCCGCAAGCGCTTACGATACCAGGGTCTGGTATCGTAAACCCTGGTATTCTGGTATCTTAAAGGTAATCGTAATAAGGTAATACCAGATTCTTAAGATATTATCGTAAGGTATATAAATCGCTTCAAAAAAACAGGTACGCACTGCGTACACGTGGTTAGCCTAAACCACGTGTTCAAGTTTGAGTGTGTATGAGCAATATAAAATGATTTTAAATCTTGAAAAGAATGGTGGTTAAAAGTATTAATGTGATAAAGAACACTTGACATTAAAAGTTAGAATAGCGTTTTCCAGTAGTAGGAGTATTTCCCAAGTGTTCAAAGATTCTGGTGTTCATAAACGTGTCGTTTCACCCAAGCTGAATTTCTAAATGAAAGACATCACTTAAAGGCTGCTCCATTCCCTGAACCTTTTAGTTCAACCCCTCTTTTTATATTTGCACTTTTCCCATCACCCCAGCCCATTTTATCTTGTCAACTCCATTTTACCATTCCTACATAACATCAGATCTTATAATCTGAAACCTTAAACAATGTAATGTATTAATCTCATTTGTATTTTTGGTTTGTAGTTGCAGTATTTTCTAAATGATATTTTAATAGGAGATTTTTGTCGAAAACTCTTTCCCGATTTGAACTTAAGTTTTACCTTTGAATGCGGAGGAATTGTAAATATAAGTTTTATTGTAGTTATAGGCTATAGCTCATACTTTGACTCTATTATGTATTTTATATAATTCACTGTCATTTTTTATGTTTTGTAGAACCATTAAAACTCGAAAGAAAAACACATTTAGCTTTGCATTTTCCTGACTAGAGCATTGCGAGATACACAAATTGTGTACAAATATGGCGAATAAAGTCTTTTGCATAAGTCGCCGAAACGAGACATATTAGATGTTTGTGATCTTCTGCAAAGCTTATACTTGTAAAATATCTTTAGCTGCTGAGTGTTAAAATCAAACTTTAATCAGTAAAATAGAGAGCGGAGTATACGCTAAAACGCAACCGTTTTGGTAATTAACGAAAATATATAGTGTATGCTACATCCTGAAGAAACATAGAGATCAATAATATGGACGTCAGTTGGCCTAAAGGTCGGATGTCATTTTGCGTAATAAAATAATGAACAGCGCATGTGCAACCCACAATAATATGCCTGTTCTTAAAAAGGCTTAATGATTCACAACTACTTCATATGAAACCCAAAAGGCTAACCTTTTGATCTGGATCAAGGGGTCCTTGAAGTTGAAACAAATCGTAATCAGGTCTACTTAGTGTTGCATCTGGCACAATTCTGAACGATCTCTATAAAATTGACAGAGAAAAATTCACAATGTCTACAAACAAATCGTTATCGTTCATTAATACATAGTTTATTAACAAAAATACTGAAACAATAACTTACATCGGATACATCGAAATCTTCATATTGTAATGACGGGTCATGAGTTAATGCTATGGTAGGATTGTACGCAACTTCGCCAGAACTGCTGAGTTCAACAGTCACTTTTCTGGAATTGGTTTCACCAATAATTATTTCATTTTCATCAACACTAAACAAAAAAAGTTACACACCAAATCAATTCAATCCAGTTAATACAAATAATATAGCTGCTGCACTAAAGTTAAGATATATGAAACAATGTTAGTGATGACAATAAAACGACGATTCGCTATGAGCCTACGACAGTTGAAAATTTTGCTTAAACATATGTATTTAGTACAAATACATAAAATTAGTTAAAATACACAATAAAACTATTCAATGTTGACAAAGCTAAAAAGTGAACGAAAACGTTTTCAAATGTATTTTGTTGTTGCTCTTTTTGAACTTGTCTTTCAATACCTATTCAAGTATTTCAAACCAAACATGTTTTCTTTCAATGAGCTCAGAATGATTGATGGTCGCTCGGTATATCACCAAAAAAACTGGAAGCTACGAGCGACCGACGCTTCCCGAGTATTTGAGCCCTTTTGACAATCTCCCCAGCGTGTAGTAAGTAGTTTTTAAATAATTTTGTTAAAATTTCTTTTGTTTTGAAAAACCAAAGAAAATCTAACACGTGTAGTCGCGCAAATCTAAAAGTGCAAGTAAAGAATAAACGAAAATGTTACCTTATTGTCGTTTTGAGATCATAATTGCATTCGTTGTCAGTACAATTCACAATAATGGTAGCCTACAAACAGGTTTCTCAGTACAATCAACAATTCAAATAATGGTAGCCTACAAACAGGTTTTCTCAGTCTAATTAACGACAATGGTAGCCAAAACAGGTGGTCTCAGAAACAATTCACGATAATAGCGAGTTTTAGTTTAGCGTCTGCGGTAACGATAAACCTCAACTACCTGCTTGCCGTTGAGGTTTGCTGCTTCGAAAAACTTGAATATAGTTTGGCGTTTTGCATTTGTCTTTTATAATTTGCATTGTCAGGAGCTAGATTTCATGTTTTGTTATACGTTTGTCGATGAAAAAGGCATATTCGTGATGTATACTCACATAAAATAATTACAATGGGCCATAAACGTCACTTGGTGTATTAATAGTAAAAAGCTTGCCGTACATCACCTACCACAAGAAGTGCTTCATGCCGTTAAAACCTGAACCGCAACGTAAACTGGAAAGACTTGATCACGTGACATTTGCATTTTGTCGTCAACGCCAAACTAAAACTTTCTATTGGTACCGTTATTTGGTAGTGATAATCTTCACTCTTTCAATGTGCGATTCGCCAATGAAATGCTAATTGTTTTACAAGGAATTACTTTTCCATAAAAGTGGTTATAAAACAACAAATAATGGCAAAATTAGTTACGAAAGAATTTCATAAACCTGTTAATAAATCTGTGTAAATTTGCTCTGAACTTTTCACGGACAAATGTTTTAAATTTACCATAAAATCGGAATATTTAAGAAAAATTTAATCAGAAAATTATATTAATCTAGTACTACTAACAAAACTACTTTACAAACAGAAACTTCTTACAAAAGTAGTAAGTCATATTCCAAATTATTCCTACCTGTTCCGTTCTAACAGAGCCTTTACTTGTATCCAAAACTGGACATAAAGTCGTATTTTCGCAGTTTGGTGGTAAAATTAGACTGTAATTTATTTTGAAACCGATGCTGTTGGTTCCAAGCCTCAATCGGTCCACAAGATTATCTCCCTACAAATTCACAAAATGTAAGAAAGAATTTTAACGTACACAATGAAAAGAATTAGAAGTACTGCGATCGAACGTTTTGAAGCGACTATATGGGGTGGATAAAGCTGTTAGTATTTAAGCTTGAAAAAAGCCACCTTCACATTAATTTCCCATTAAACCGTTTGTATAAAACGTAGTTTTTTCAAGATTTCGATTGATGAAGTTAACATTACTTCATTTGAGAAAGACTAAATGATTTTCTGTTGCAAGAACTTTGAAATACACGAAAGCGCGTGAAAAGCAAAGTACTTGTAAGTCATGTAGTATTTTACAACGATATGTTGACATCCACATAAATTACATGATGTTAAAAAGGACAAAACATATCAACAAAACAAAACTCATGGCTGAAAACAAGCTCATGGCATTTTGGTTCAAAGTATTTATTCGCTTGTAGAAACACACCAACAAAGGATCAATACGTAAGTGAAGTAACCTCAACAACCGTACAAAACCCTAATCCCTATACATTACTCCTAAAAGTGACCTTAAAGTAAACACTTACTTTAAACTCCTAACTTTGACCTTAACCCTAATAATAGTAGCCCCTTCAATAAAGTAGCCCAACCATAATAGTAGCCCCTTTAACCATAATAGTAGCCCTTAGGCCTCCTTATCCTTACAAACCATCATATCACGACAGAAATATGACAATGACAATCTTAGCCAGGTTCAGCATGAATCGACATTCGGTGTTAGGTTAACAGCTAGCCCAATAAGCACAACGACTAAGAAAGATATTGACTTACTCGAACATGAATCTGAGTGAATTCCACACACGACATTCTTGCCTGGAAGTCTTTTTATCACGCTTGGAGTAAATTTCATTTCCTGATTCATTAAAATACACTCTCCTTAAAAATTTTGCAATGTTTGATAATCCAAATCGAACTGGTATTGAATTTCTAGGATGAGAAAACAAACAGACTCAACTAAGTATGTCTTCTGAATGAAAAGATTTAGGTTTCTTTACGTAAACACAATGTACGTCAAAAATATTATTGCAATCCTCTTTAACTTTTCAGTCTACAGCAACTTTCCACATACTCAACAGTGATTATTTATGAAAGAACAATAAACGCTTTTATGTTTGACACTGCTTGTGCAAAACCTATCTGCTTTTAGCCATATCGAAATTCCCTTTTTTTACAAATTTTGAGGTTTGCAATGTGTGATTTTCATAATATTATAACAACACAAAACTGTGACAAAAGACAACGAATCTTTTAAAATAGGCATGTTTCGGAGCTTATGCTATCTTCGGTATATAAAAATGAATTTATTGAAAGCAAGCAATATTAACGTAAACATACGTTTTAAAAGTAAAACTACTAAGCAACATGTTTATTCAAAGTTTACCAATGGAGTTCAATGTCCACCCGTTAGCTGAAAATCATCAAGTGAAAAAGTTGCCTTCTGTCTTCATGCACTTGAGCATTGGTATTTGAAGTAAACCTGCCAAAATGGCTGCTTTGACATCATATTTTAATTGCAAACTAATTTGTTTGTAGATAAAATGATAAAATAGTGTACACTTGTTTCTGTTCAAAAAATGGAAGTTGTATATTCATGTTCATGTCAATAGTTGCGACTAGGTCTAAAAGATGACTAATCTCCTTCCATCTTTATGAATGATCACTATACACTTTCATAAACAATGAAGATCACAAAAGCATGCCAAAACATGTCTATATTTTTAAAGAATCGTGGTTTATTTGTATGATTTGCACAACAAACGGTTCTGTAAAAATATTTTCGTTGATCTTATTACAATGATACAAATGTTGTAGCAAAAGGGAAACGAAATGTCAACAATACACAACAATACCTTCCATTCCGTATAACTACATATTTGATAGTTTTGAGCTTTATTTTCACTATTGTCACTGACATAAGTTGATTTCGATATTCTGTCATGCAATTCTCTTCGACCAAAAGCAATTACAATCATTTGAACAGAAACAGTTAATCATCTAAACTTCACCATGCATACGTACCATAAGGACCAGAGACACTTTTGCCGATGTATTGGAAACACACTGTAACATCCAAACTAAATAAAAAAAAAGCTTGTTACAACAACATCACTGGAGTGAACGGTTCTCTCATAATATACCTTTCTCATTCTCCACAACCAACATTTCGTCTGGTCATTTTTATACTGACATACAATACCGCTCGCGTATTTGTTAACATACGGTATGAAACGCGTATGAAAACATACGCGTATGATACGAGAACGATACGCGTATGATACGAGAATGATATATGTATGATATGAAAGGATACGCGTATCACACGCAAAATTATGTTAACAAATACGCGAGCGGTACTATACGTTAACATTTCCCCTTGTTGGTTTCTGTCCCCGTTAAAATTTCCCATCATAAACAACTCTCAATGCACATCTCCCTTGATCGACAACTTCCACAAGTGACATCTCCCCAGGCTCGTAACCAGAGGGATGCACTGGTTACACGAGTTGTAGTCTCATTTAAAACACATTAACCAAGTTAAGCCAGGTTTATTGTTTACACATCAAGAAAAATATAATATAATTCTTACCATTGTATAGAACTGTTGGGACAGAATACGGTATAATTTTCCACAAGTATCTCCTTCCTGCTTAAAGTCAATGAAACGTCCAAGTTCATTATTGGGCGAGTCCTTAGAAAGTAAATTAACAAAAATTAGTGATTGGGCTACTTCAACTCGAAGTAAAATTTCGTTCTTAACCTGACGCCGGAACACAAACAATTTAATTGGTGAGAAATAAAACTTTCAAAAAACGTCAGCAAAATTTTAAAAGTGTAACCACTCAAATTATTTCCTACATGCTCAAGCTTGTTCATTTCTAAAAGCATTAAATTCTGACATAATTAAAATTCCATACAAAATCACTTTCTTTAAATTCACGTAAATTCAAATGCAAGCATTTATACTAATAGTTAACTAACTTGTACCATACATTTATTTAAATTGTTTACGTAAACAGTAGAAGACTGATAATTTCATAAGTTCCTTATAGATTTTTGATAGCGTTAACTAATTTATTTAATTCGTTGCAATTGGTACTGCTCTATGATTAATCATCACATATCCAATTCAAAGAATAAATGAAAATACCTCAGCAAAGAACTCTATCACTTTTCCATGCCCCGACTGCAATATCTATAAAAAAATTCTTTTTTTGAGTTTAGGAAATCAAAACACAACGCTGGGTGAATCGAAATCACAGATAAATCCTTATAGCTTTCATAGATTTTAGCTGAGTCGTTTTATAGTACAATCCATTTCAAAAGTGTTTCTTGTCATTGCTTGCAACATTTTACTGTTCTAAAATTTTTTAAGGCAGTCGAAACGGAATTGACAATCGCTCCAAGCCACCATGAATAGGACAAAAAAATACAGCTGTACTTCATGAAAACCTAAACATGCATCATTTGTTAAATTGAACAGTGAATGCTGCATAAATACTCTTAAAAACTATAAAATTCACAGCTTCACTTTGTTCTTAACTTTCAAAACGTTTTTCTTTTCACTTAACAAAAACCATTTTTAAAAGTTTTGCATGTTCAAGTATTAGCTATTTTCATGTATTACTTCAAAAACATAAAATAACTTGATAATCATTCATGACTAGCGAAAATAATACGACGTGCTGTTGCTAAAAGGATAGATCATTGTTAGTGTCAACCATAGCCGCAACAGAGTATCCAAACTGCTGAAAATTAGGATAAAACTTCTTGACTGTTTCGGCCGTTATTTTCTAAAGAAAAATTAAGTGTAGAGCTAACGATAGAGTATCAATTCACACAATCCCATAGAATTGACCTGATAATAATTACGCAAAAATAATTGAGTGTAGTGTTGTGCAAACTTAGCCTCAATTTCCGGGGACAGCAGTGTAATTATTAGCTAAGCACTACTGTGCTACATCCGTTAAACTAAAACTAAAGTTTTGGTGAGTATTTAAGTAAAGAATAAAATACGTTAAAAACATTGACAGTAAAATCACAAACTTGGATATTGAAATTTATGCAGTTAACAGTTTATGAAAAAACCCCGTCCAGATTGTTACTTGTTATAAAAGTTGTGGAAAAGCAACAAAACCATACCTGCTGATAATCGTTAAATATACCATCCCTACGTCCATGATAAATATATATGGCGCCATTGCCAAAACCATCTCCGTCAATATCTGGTTGATCTTGAGGTGCTCCAATAATCTGGTATAAGATAAAATCACAACAAGTGAGATCAAATCGATCATTAAACCGTTTTAAATAACTCTTTAAGTCACAAGTAGCTTTGTGATTAGTGTTTTAGCATGGCTTTATGTATTCAAGTTGAAAAGTAAAACAAAGAAATTTCACACGAAAAAACATCCACAATTTCTTAGCTCTTGCTGTCTTTAACAACTTATAATCGACATCATGCTATTAACCTGCACAACAAAAAACAAATAATCAACCGCATTTAATTGTAAATATACCTAAAATCCCATCATTATTAAGATCTCCTGCGCGTGTTATGGACCATCCAAATCTTGCCTCCATAGTGTTACTGCCCCGTAAACCAGGATCTTGTCGCGTTTCTCATAGGAGAAAAGTTCAAGGATTCGATTCTAGAAATATAAATGTTAATGAACTCCAGCTTCATTATTTTGAATTTTAGATACTTTAGCACAGTACATATTTTCCCTTGGTTTTGAATTCGCGCACCAAGTGGACTTATACTCGTGCAGAACATTTCTTATGTTTTGTCTTTTTACTACAGTTAAATTATGCTGTACTTAAAACTTGTCATTACAAAGTTGTATAAATTATATAGCACAGAATTTTGCGTGAAACTTAGCCAAACTTTTCACCGCCCAATGTAGGCACAATTTTCCTTAACTGTTTCATGCTTGTAAGACATAAGGTTCAAGAATCCAGCAAATACTAAATGAGTATAAAATAGTGAACAGTAATTTACCTGAGTTAGTACACTAAGATATACGTACACGACCTTCATCACCTCTGTCGCTGAAGAATGGGGCTCCAACTAATAGATCAGAAAAACTATATCAAGGCAAAAAACAAATTAATAAAAACAAATTGGTCCGCTTCATGATCACCGATACTCAGATTCATGAATGTCATAAATCACGTGTATGATTCACCCAATCACTAGAGTTACTGGAAAACAAAGCAAGCTAAATTTTCCATGACATGAAGTATCAAATTCTTATAACTGTGAATTAAGGAGTATAAAGTTAGCCATTTCTATTATGATTTATTATTATATGGGAAGCGTCACTTCAGGCCAAATGGCGCGCTTTGATAGGCTCGGAAACATTTTTGCCGGTCTATTATTTTCTCGTAATCGACTACGGTCCAAAAGACGTAATTTTACAGTCAAATGTAAAGAAATTTCAAACAGCAAAACGCAAAATAAACGAAACAAAAAAAAAACATTTACTAATGTGATTCGAAGGAAAAACATTTGCAAAGCAGTTAAACTATCCAGACAATAAAATTTGAAACGATTTATTTTCTATGAACGAAAACTATAAAAGTGAAAGCCAACCGGTAAAAAAACAGCAAGGACGAGAAAGAAAGCAAGCTTCGTTTCAGGTCAAATAATGCCATATAATAAACCTTTAATAACCTCGCTTTCTCGGTCTTTACTGAAATATCGGACCTCTGTCTTTTTGTACAAATTTCGCTCTACGGGCTCGGTCTGTACAAAAAACCTCGGTCCGATATTTCTCTGAAAAGACTTCGCTCGGTTATTAAAAGCTTAATAGTCAACAATCATCTACTTCCTTTAATTTGAGCTCTCACACTTGAAACACGCAAAACATTTCGTATAAGAAATGAATGAAAAACAAAGCTGGAATACATACAAATTTTTTTTCTCATGCTTTAAAGCATAATATACGCGAGCAGTATTGATCCTTTATGCTAAAAATAATTTACCCATCAGCGTTTACATCAATTCCACAAACGGAAGCTCCAAAGAAGATAAACTCATTTCTCTAAAAACAAAATAACTCATAAGACAGTGACGCGATGATCTCCATCTCGTGCGCAACGCTCATAACATAAAGCAACTTTATACAATTCGATGAGCACTTTTTGCATAAGCTACAACTTGATAAAAGTACAACCTCGTAGTTATCTGTATAAAGAACTGATCTTTCAAACTATTTAATCACAGTGGAACTGTAACTTTATATATTTCTTGTTGTAGCTCACAACTGTACATTAACAGTAAAACTATAGCTACCAAATTACCATAAATTACACCGCAGTAACGTGACACACCCCTATACTTTATTTATTTTCCACTCTTAGTAAATGAAAATCACTAAAACTCAATCTCTTGGTGAAATCATAACAAAATGAAAACGCCAATTAAGCTTTATTTGTTGATAAAGGCATTGAAAGTTACAAATGTCAAAATAAAATAATCAATTGCTTCGTCTTAAAATTTACAACAAATCATAGTCATGTGTTACAATTTTCAGTTTTCGACTTATGCATTTACTGGATTGGGTATTTTAATAAATAGAAAAATCTTTCAAGATATTGAATCATGTGTTGCGGGAATTAGCATGCACTAGTAAGTTTGCATGAAAATTAACTAGCTTCTAGCCTGTTTTCAGCCCCTCTCTTATAATCCTCACTTAAAAGGTAAACCTCCGGCTAACTCCAACAATTTTTTGTTTCGTTTATAACAAATCAAGTTCTGTTGTATATAATTTCATCCGAGGTAAATGCGCTATTTAAACATATGCTAATCAACTAACTATACTTACTTCTTGGACTTTTTGGTGGAAAATATCAACGATAATGGAATCCAAGTTTTCACGATAAACTCTAACCTGTTATAACAATGAAATATAGTAATTTTGTAGTAAATCCCGTTGTCCCACAAGTAGATGTGTAGTACACAATTTACATTCAATCATCTCTAAATAATGTGTGTATAAGTAACTACTGCCATGATACAAACTACATAGCGTATCAAAAATTGCTAAACATTTAATGAAATGTTCAGAAAGCTATCATTTCATCAAAATTTCTAAATTTTCAAACTTTTCTAATACGTGCACCCTGTATACCTGTGCAAACGAAACTAATGAAAAAATCTAGACTACCCAGAGATGAAAGTAATGTTTAATGATTTAATTGTCAACGCCCTTGCCAAACGTGAAATGTAATCCTTATATAACTTATAAATTGCAGCATATCAGAATTACGTTCATTATCAAAAAATGGGAAAAATAAGAGCCCCGCGTTGACAATTATAAAAAATTCAAACAAACAAACCTGTCCTGAATATCCGAATCTTGGGTACCCAGATGCAATTGCTAAACAAAAAATATGAATTGCATGATCATTTCTGATTCAATTCAAACTTTTGCGAATCCTAAACTGGCCACAACAATTTCTTGCAAATTTGAGATCTATTTATAGCATTTGTTATAACATTTTGTTGTTGTAAGCAAGATTACTAATGAAGATATTTTGTGTGTATTTACAAACCCACAGACAACAGAGAAAACTCGCATAAAGTCACAAAACAAAACATAGGAATGCCAAGCGTACATGCATTTTACGTAAATATATTATTGTTCAGTTGAGAAGGAAATAAAAATGTTTTAATAGTGATTGTGAATTTCGACTATTTAAAATGAATATCAGACCACAAAATTTCGGAGTTGACGGAGATAGAAACGTTCGAAGACATATTCTCATTCTCAAGAGAATAGGATTTTAAGAAACGAGATTTGTTCGTGCAAGATTGAACTTTGTCCGCTCGGCTTAAACTATTCACAGTCATAATTGCGATTTAATACCTCACAGCATGTATTTTTATCTTCTATTTCAAAAACCTGCCAGTCAAAATTGATTTTTTTTAGCTTGGCATTATATAAAAGTAATTTCGTCCTTACTTTCTCATACAAACAGCGTGTGTAACTGATTCCAAAGACTGGTGTAACTGATTCCAAAATATACCAAGATCCCAAAGCGGCAACGACAACATCAAAACTATACCTTTATGTTTTACTAAGTTAAGAGAGCAATAAGTTGCCATACCTTCTTGATTTAACGCGAAAAATTCCCGGTGGTGACTGAGTAACCTAGATAACATTATTTAAAAATTAAATAACTCTGAATGAAAAATCATCAGACTTTTCTCATAAATGATGGACAGGACACAAACGATTCTAAATTTCAAATCTGGGATCCAAACCGTAAAAACAGTTACGCAAAGAGACAGCCCAAAAGCAAAGTACTTTAAGATCTTTCCCGAAAGTCGACTTATAAACTGGTTGCATAAGAAAAATAACAGGATAAAAACACAATACCTACCATTGTAAAATTTCCATCTTCTGAGGAAACGGTGCCCACGTATATAAATCTCGTGTTTCAAAGCCAACGTTTCCTTTAAAAATAACAGTTTTCAATAAGTGTAGAAACAAAGAAATTAAGAAATGACAATGTTTTTGTTCAAGTCATGTGATTCCGTTCACGTGAAAAATAACACAGCAAAGTAAACGAGCCATTCAAATTAAGCAGATTCAACCGGCAAAACTGGTGCTTAAGTTTATGTGGTTAGAGTTGAATTTCATATTTCTTCTTTCGGTTGAAACCCTATAAATGCTATAATGAATATCATTGGTCAAATGACGATATTTCATCGGTGTTCCTGAACGGTGAATTTTGAAACGTACAACGATCATTGAGGAGATGGTTGTTTGCTATAAAACCTTACAAATTTAACAAGAAGTCATACACGAGTGATAGCTAGCTTCTCATAAAACTTTCGAAATGATATTAATTGAACAATGTACGGCTTAAATTTCCATGGAATTTTTTGTGGTTCAAATAGAATGTTCAAAAGGGAAAGCAAAAACTGCACAAAAACTACCATATTTGTTTTTGAAAATGTCAGTTCAGGTTTAAACCATTGAGGTCTACTGAAATCTATTAATGCCGCTGATGCAAAACTTACAAGTTTACAAAGCCAGGTCCATATCAATTTAGTGATGAATTGTGTATTACCTCGCTTATTGAACATCACCGCACCCATAACAACCTGTTGATTCCTTTTTAAAGAAGCAGAAAATCCAGCTTGACAATGATCATAATCTATAATGATAAATATGAGTTAACAGACATAATTCAGACAATCATTGGTAAAACCTTCTTTTCGGCTTTCGTAACAGACGTCTTAATTTACATTGTCCATTATACGTATTGTTTCTCAAAATAAAACTATCCAATTAAAATTTACATTGCTTGATTAGATCATTTCTCATTGTATTTACACAGAGTATAGATAGAAATCCCTCCGTACCCAACATTATCACATCAATCACAGCGGAGGAACTAGGCTTGCATGTTCAACGCTGGTGTAGAAAAATCTTTTGAATCAATTCAACGCTTTTATAAACTTTGTTTTTAGCACTACCGTAAATTTCTTTCTCAAATTTGCCTTTTCATAGTGAAATAGGTTTCTAGTCATGATTTTCCTTCTCTTCAAATCAAAAGTTCTTTTATGAAAGAGCCATTCAATTTCGAGGAAATATATAACGTTCGATTTACACTTAATAGTTGTAAACCGTAATGTTGTTATCTCCCATCGGTTTAACTATTTGTGCTATATATTGCTTCAAAAGAATACCTTTTAAAAAAATGTTCCATATCATCTGATACAGTTTCTTGGTCAAAATGCATTTTTCTATAGCTTATTACGTATTTGATATGTGTTATCATATGTTTTAATTTGATATGACGGTACAACTGCTATAAATCTTGGCCCGAGTTAGAGCCAATTGAAAAGCGGTAAATTCACTATTGAGGAGACAACATTCATTAGTGGATGATGGGATTGTCTGAAACGTCGATGAACAAATTAAATAACAACTTATGCACCAATACAGCTTCAGAAGTTCTAATCACAGATTCCAAAAGTCTATCTCGTTATCGTATTCATGCAATCCTTACGTGCACTCTTGTTTGGAAATCAGGCCATAATCATTATAAAAATATATGTGATGACCGGTGGAATTCATATTTTTTTGATTCACATGCTAGGAATAGAAGTAGTATGCCAGATACTAAAGGAACCTAAGTAGTGAATCATTGGTGGAAGATCATTTTTAGTGACTCATTGTTATACACTATTAAAAGCAATAAATTCTTATTCATTTCAAATGGCAAAAACAAAATCAACCGCGTCTTCAAAAAGAGAGGGAGTCGAAAAGCAATGATGAAAGTTAGCCAGAAAAGTTTTGCGTTTAGAGAAAGGTTCTCGCAGAACATAGAATACATGGGTATTTCTCCTATTACTGACGGCTCCAAAAGCACCAAGGATGGTTCGTCTGTTGATCTTGTTTACAATGTCTTGACCATTAGTTGAGAATGAACCTCTGAATGAGTACTATATTCCTATCTAGCAACAATCGATTATCTTGCATTATTTCTAGATCTTACTAATCAAGTCCTTTTGACAGATCAACGTTTGCAAAATCGTATCAATAATCACAACGGCAATTTATCGGAATCAAAACTAATTAGCTTAATTATTTCTTCAAAGCGCTTGTTAAAAAAAATGGCCCCTACACTACAACTGCACTTTCGCTTTATGTCTGTCAACAACTAAACAGCCCAAACAATCAAAGTTTTTCATTCGCACGTACTGCTACGAATTCCTAACATTTCAAAGCAGTTTACTCCTTCTTCGATTAACGACACCTGTAAGACTGGGTTTAGTCATTTGTAACACTCACAATAAAAATTATCACAATAAAAATAAATCATCAAATAATAATTTCAACATACCACTTCGTCCATGATTTGGTGCCTGTTAGTGTACAAGGATACAATGTTCTTTCTGTAATTCTGTTCTGATATTTTCCTTCAAGTACGACGCACTTTCCAATTAGTAGTAAAATTCCTTGCTGTTTGTGGTGTATTCTGTGAATCGAGGAGCACATGTCTGACGAAAAGTCAAAAAATAGTTAATAGCGATATGTATGCAAGATTCCAAACAGCAAAGAGTTCAAAACAGTCAATGCAAGACTCAAACAACGTAATGTTTCTATTATACATGGTGGATCAAAAAAGAGCAGACAATTTCGAAACAGCTAAAAATTTTGTAAAACGTTTCTATGATCAAAGATTTTATGTAAATATAGCTTATTTGGGTAAACAAAACCAACTTTTGTATGTGATGATTTTTATTTGCTACATAAAGGCTGACTTGTCTTTGCACCAATGTACTTGTAACAGAAATTGTGAAATTTTTCTTAAAGATATAAATTGCCTCATAAAAACTGTTTGAACACCCCCTCACCAAAGGCCTTGTTCACATAAAATTTTGCCTTAAAGTAATCTATTAATATGAAAGTAAGCAGGCGAACGATTCATCGCTAAATTATTACGTTTACACTTCCCAAAACTCCTTGAAAAGACAAAGCGTAATGTTGAGAATGTACTATAATATAGTATTCGTTACAAATGAATTTCAATTAATTTAATTTTTTTATCCTTCAAACTGTGTGCAAAGCAAATAAATCAAAGGAAACAGCAACAGTTTTACATACTGCCAAAAGCGAAATCAAAAACAATGTAGGAAAGCTAGTCAAGTAAAGAAACTTGGAAAGTGATTTTATCCAGGAAATACAATTTTAAATTATTTATTTTTTCTGGCAAGTTTCATGTCAGGTCAGAATACCACAAAAACTTTTCATCAGGCGACGTTTCTTTCAAATGAATACGTTTTTTGAGTGAACAAAGAATACATAGCACAGTTGTCCACAGAAAAGTTACAAGAAGAGAAAAATTCTTTTGTTCAGTATCAGAGATTATAAAATACAAACAATAAGGTCCAAAGATATTAAACTAATCATAGGCCGGTTGCACGAAGCCTGGATAGAGTTATCCATTGGATAGCAAAAATCTTCAAACTTGTAAAAAAGGTGTTTATATTTTTCTTACGACAAAGAAATTTCGTAATCTTCGAAACAATATTTTATTTCAGTGATTGTTCAGTTCGAATCTTATACTTTTGATTTTTAAAGATTTTATAAAAGTTTAAGAAAACTTGCTTTACTATCCAATGGATAACGCTATCCAGACCGGTCCCAAATTAGTTTAACATTATTGGACGCTTTTTGTACAAACCGATCTGTGAACTCAAAAGCAATCAAAGAGAATTTGCAAATCAAACATCAAGACATGTTAGAGGACAAATTTGAGAGTTTGTTTTAAATTCGTCTGTTTTGCATTTTTCGTATACACACTGGCCTATGAAGCTGTGGCTCGGAGACCTTTGTAAGAATGCTAGAGCAGGTGCAAATTCTCGACCTGGCAGTAATCTACTCTTGAGTTCTCCAAATGGTCTCCCTCGATTTGCATAAGCCTGTGCAAACGCAGTAAACTATGTTAACTGTAAACATCTTTTATTTCTTAATATATATTTCAAAATAGTCAATTTATATAACTCAAATACTTTGGTACTAATTTCACTTTGCTATAATACTCAATACACTTTTAGCAAATTTGCCTTGTCACTTTGTTATGAATTTTGATCAATTTAAACTCATGTTCCATGTAAATAATAGGGAAGTGACTACTTGGAATGGTCTAACTTGAAACTATTATTTTAGAACTATTGCAAGTATTTTAGTGAGAAGCTGAATTCTGTAAATATATGATGTGCCTAATCTGGTAACAAACTTCACAAAGGAAGCATCAAATGTGTAAGCACTAAAGTGGCACATTTCATATTTGACTTCAAAATCAATATTGCATACCATTAAAAATACAATATTCTATGTATAAAGAATATACCACAAAGATCATTTGAAATGAGTGCTAAATGTAAGAACATAAAACTTAAGTGAAAATCATATGACACATGACAAAACAGTGTGAGGTGGCAGATTTGACCTTATCACTCCCACAAAAATGAGAGATATTTCTAAACATGTCACTGACTTAATAACTTTAATCTTCTACTAAGCTATTGCAAAACTGCAATTCTTACATTTCCGTGATTGAAGAATTTTTGATAGCCATTATGTATGTATAGTTACAATAAACTTATAATCAATGGTCCTGTTTTGATGATTTTAACAAAATTTAACATAATTTTCTAAAGGAAATAATGTTAATACAGAGCTGTTCACAATGATTTAAAATAAAAACTATCTGGGGGGAATGGGTTCATGAAAATTTCGAAAGAATAAAATGAAAACTTCAAAATAATGGCATTATGGGGGTTATAAAAAAAGAAAGTTATAATGAAATTTTTAACTTTCAAAGGTTTAAACTGAGTGAAGTTACAAGAAATTACAATTTAAACTGAATGAAGTTACAAGAAACTTACAACAACTTCTTTGTTTCCATTAGAATAAGTGGTTGCACCTAGCCATTGGTTGTTCCTTCTCTCCCAACTTTGGGTACTAGAAGGTTGTAAAACATACTGAAACCAAAATATATGGGCTCAAAAAATTGCCACATGGCATTCTGTCAAGATGAACAATCAACTTCTTTCTAGCTGGGTCAAAGTCGTTTTTTGACCATTTACTAAAATAAATAACTGTCACCAGACAAATAATGCAAAAATATTTTTTAAGGCAACAGTGTCTTGTATTTGACATTACCATGCATTTACATTACCCTTACATACTACATTATTAAAAGTGGGTAAGACATGAAAATATGAACAGTCAAAATGACCGATAGGACAAGAAGTTTGCTGTTCAACAAGAATCTGTGACAATTCATTATCAGTTCATCTGCACTATTTTAGAACCCTGCATATTCTGTTGTACATTCAGTAACTCTCTCATCATCGTCATTATCATAAAAATAATCTTACTAACGTGATTCAATAGATTGCGCTGTACAAGACGAACCATCAACCACACAAACAAACGTCCCCTTTTTTCCATTTTTCAAACTCAGGTGCACCAACAAAAATTCTGAAAAAATTCATAACAAATGTGTTTGTCACATGCAATATAATTAGAATAAATATATTGAAGAGACTACCGAAACCACACATATTTATTAGGCAGTCACATCTGGTTCTCATATTACAATATACATTTTGCCATGCTATTAAAATGATAGTTATACTGAGATAGATTAATTCTGTTATATGAGTTTCTAGACAAAGATTTTGGAGTGTTAAAATATTTGATATTGTGTTTGCTTATTTCCAAAAATGACAACACATGCTACAGAATCAAGGGCAAAGTTAAGTTCAAAAAATGAGTTTAAGATGTTTTATTTATTTAATAAACATAATCTAAATACATAACTGTAACTAAAATTTGAGTTTAGAAAATGTATTTCTATGGATTATGTTTTATTTTATGAAATTGTCATCTAGTTATGGACTATTTTGATTAAAATACACTAAATATGAATAATATTTAAATTACACAACAGGGTTTGCAAAATAAAGTAAATAAAAAGTTTCTTCTTTGTTGCATTTAACATAAACGACAACTATTTTTACATTTTTTAATGCAAACATTTTTCGGCAAACTTATGCCATCTTCAGTGTGGTATAATGAATGAATATTTGAATGGAGTTAATATATAAAGAAATCTGATACAAGACATGTGTATGGACATAGGGGTGGAAACGGAAGTTATTTACAATTACGTAGTGATTAGAGGATTTAAGTATTTACTAGTTAAAGATAGTGTTGACATGCTGAATTTGTTTGTTAAGATTAGGCTTGAGTGCTTCTTTGATGTACAGTGCTTCTTTAGTTTTAAAGAAAAGTAGTGGGCACTGTTTAATATAAAAGCAGGATTGTGAGAATTAGATTTGCAGTGAGGTGATGAGTGTTTGAATATGTGTGTGTTTTTAAGAAAGGTATTATGCTCTTTAATCCCTGTGGAGAGGTGGAGGCTGGTTATCTTATTGGCACCTCTCTAATTACATTATTTTGTAACCCCATTTAGATCCATTTTGGAAACTGTGAGAGGTTGTGGGTTGCTAGGCTGCAATACCTTTCATGTGATCTTTGTGCTGAAAAATTTTTCACTGTCATTACATGTACTTTTGTTGTGATAAAATGTGTTTGCAAGGCAAATACATATGTAAATCAAATACATATTCACTTAAAAGATAACAGAGGAGCATTTATATTCACAAGATATGGAAAATGCATTTTTGACTGGTTTTATTTTCCATAAACATTTATCAACTATAAGTGCTGTACCGTTAAATCTTTGTTTTAGTTATATCAGCCTTTTACTATCCCATGAGATATGAAACAAGAGAAGATACGATTTATATTCGGAGAGGGAGTTAGAATATTTAGTTGCAAAAACTGTGATGCACTTTTTCCCTTAATTTGTAACCAGTGTCACATGACATTATGTTAGAGATACAGTGTTCAACATATTACAGAAAATCATTGTGAATCTGATTGTTTAGCTGAAGTCTAAAAGTGGTTTCAACTAAATCCAAAAATTTACTTGAGGGCCAGAAGTACACGGCTGACTGGCTGAATGCAAGATGACAAGAAATGAAATGATCTAAATGACTAAAAATACAATACCCAAAAGCCTTAACAATATATCTGTCTCTGAAATAATAGTAAACCACCCAGGGCTTTTCCTAGCATTAAATAAAGTTTAATGTTTTAAATGGTCTGTTGTCAAATCATTCATTATTACACTTATGGTGATCAAAAGGAAGTTTAAGTAGGGGCTCCACCCAAAAATAATGTTGGTCTTAAAACTTTGTCTGTCCCGTGAAAATAAATATGCGGCAATTTTTTGTTTGTTTGATTCAATATTTTCACAAAAGGTTGAAAATGCTGCAGCTAGGGCATCGGGGCGTGGGAGCAGAAATATGTCAGCGGCTTGTATTGACGTCATATCGTCAATTGCTCCTCAAAGCTTTATAAAGTCATTGCACAGTCATAATAAACTTGCGTCAAAATGCTTCTCCTAATCACAAAATGTTTCTTTTCGAAACGTCAGAATTTTTTATTTGTGAGGTATATACACAGCAACTTATATAGCTTACGAAGGCTTTTATTTGTATTCTGTTTTAATAGAACGGTTTCACATCCATAAAGGCCATTATCGCACAGTTTCCGCACTACATATAGAACTTGAATGTCGATTAATATTATTTTTAAAAATACGAAGGTTTCTTTGTTGTGGAAACTGTGCGTGTGCCGTTTGCTTGTCCTCCAAATTCAACCTTAACAACAGTTTCCACTGATGTGAAACCAATCTATTGCCCTTAATAAACATTGAATAATAATAAACATGGTTGTGTAACTCATTACGGTTAGAAAATAATCCTACATAAAACCATTGTAAAAATAGCCTTTCATAGAGATTAAGGTGTAGTTTCCTTGACGTAAAGTATGAACTTATAGTTTCCTAATCATTTACATAATTTCATGGTGGCATTTGTCTATGTCACAAAAATAACAAAGAAGGCTAACATTAAAGGGAAATGATGACTTGACCCATGGATTAAGTCCATTTCTAATCATCTTTGGTGGTGCTCTGCAAGTTGTAACAAGAATGCAGAAGAATTGGTGGAAAAATGGAAGTCTGTCCTTAACCACATTTCCAACAAGCATTTGGAAGGGGAACACATATTTTCATCAATGTTGCCACCAACAATTAACAGAAAAAGAAACAAAGCAGAAAAGTGGTTATCTCCTACTTCACACATATATGGCTGCAGAGGGTGATATGTGACAAGCTGCTTCTAAAGACCTCTGGAAGCTATCAGAGTTTTGTCACACAGGAGGTTGGAGGTTTACCATTCCTTTTACTGAAATATTGCCCAAAGCGTGAGGCATTTTCCCTGGGATGGTAGCCTGCACTCAAGCATTAGATCACAACAACAATATTAAATGTGATAAGCAGTCATTAAGTCAGGGACAAACAAAGGGCAAGCCAGTTACAAAATGTTTTTGCTAAAACACAGAAGCAATGGAAAAGCAATGAAAAAAAGAAAGAGTACCAATTACATTGATAAACTACTTGCGGAGGTTGTGAATGAATGCAAAACTGAGAGATTGAACTTGTACATCATGGCGAGAATCTTCCAAAGAACATTTCTAAATCATGTCCACCCAGGAAAGAAGTACTTGTAAAGGAACATCAGTCTAGATTTGCATAAAATGTCAGTGGTGATGTTAGCTATGGCAATAGGTTTTGCCATACCCATATAATATGACGTTGAATCAGTGAAGACAACTTTTAAAAATGTTCATTCTTAAATATTAACATAGCAAAACCTTTTGATATAGCTAGTTTCCCACTGCATTACACAAACTATTCATGTAATTAATTATAGTTATATTATAACCAGTGGCAAACCACATTTATAATCATTTCTTTGTAAATCTGGTAATAAATTAATAATAATGTGCATAGCATGACCTATAAATGAGCTGGCTATGCCACTTTAATATTGACATACAAAGTAATTGTAATGGGTATACCTATATCATAATAAAATACTTCATTCATCAACATAGTGAAAGCCTTCAAATGAAATTCTCTCTGCAAGGCCAGGTTGGAGAAATGTTTCTCTAATGCGAGTAACTGCACATGATGGCAAGATGACTCTCACTTCTACCCAAGATACCCCAGCACCATCTAACTGTGCAATGGTACAGTTTGTCTTCCAGACCCATCATACCTCCTTATTGCTGCTTGTACTGGTACCAAGCTGTTTGTAAAACCCACCTGTTTAAACAAACAGGCTCAAAACCAGGATGTTGTGTGTACACAAAGGACTTTGGTCTCATTCGTTTCTACTGCCTCTAAATTTTTTGTCCAAATATTGGAAATCTCTTTGCAGCATAAACCTTGTTATTATCCATTATTTGGCAGTTACCACATTGACACCTGAATATGTTAAAGAAGGATCTTGAAAAGTAAATGTCAAAACTTCAATAAAATTGTGTCTTACAATATAAACTTTAAAATCTAAAGTATTATGTGTGTGTGGACGTGGTCAACTTCTGAAAACGTACTTTTGAGATGAAACAATGGTCTAGAAGAATATAACATTTACTACCCACCATTCAAGATTGTCGCGCCGAGATTCATCGTCAATATACAAAATTCCTGTTCTTCGTTATCCTCAAACTGGTGAGCTTCTTCGTGTTCATCAGCCGGCCATTCGGGCAAACTGATATGGCCGAATGTTTGTTGGATTGTCTTCCATTTCACTATCGATTGGTGAATTAGTACGGTGGCCGGTACGTACAGTGGCCAGTACAGAAAAATAATTTAGAAAACATAACAAACAATAGAAAACATACCTCAAAATCATAACTACACATTTCAAAATACTCGCCACATTTCAAAATGCTCATACATTTCAAAATACTGGCTAACACATTTCAAAATACTCGTACACATTTAAAATCTCACTAACATTTACAAAATACTCACTACCATTTAAAATACTCATACACATTTCAAAATTCTCGCTTCACGCATTCAAAATTCTGGCTACACATTTCAAAATGCTCACGCACATTTCGTCCCAGTCTTACCCTGGTCTGGCCTGCCCACGGTCGTCATTAGTTTACATCTACGAAATTGGTATTGAAAAGCTAATATAAATATACGTTTCCGATATTACTAAGCGGTTTGGTTCGCGTAAGGATATTTTGATGCTATTGTGGCGATGTATTGTCTGTGTTGAATTCGGCACATAGACAAATATATTGCCACAATAGCATAAGTATGCGATACGGTACATGAACTAGTAGTAATATTTCTTCCAGGGTTCTTGGTCTTGTTGAATAACAACGGTGGTCATACGATTACATAGTAATTGTATTTGTATTGGTGATATTCGACAATCATTGAACATGTGCACTTATTGAGCAGTGACTGGTGGTGAAGTTCTAAATTTATTGCGTCTACTCGAAATGAACTTTTCATTTTCTTTCGTTTCTTGCAACAAATTATAGCACTATGCAAATTTCTCTGGTTTCCTTGTTATTTTTGTAACGCATCACACAAAAATTACATACTGGCCTCTTGTTATTAAAGTACGTGTACGAAAAGCCACCGCAAATACATTTGCTGGCGATATGTAGATCGTCTACTAATGTTGTTGCCGACAGTCAGCAAAACCCTGGAAGAATTTCTGATTAGAGTTGAGCCATGCCATTATTCCAATGTCCCATTTTTTTGCCTTGTGAAATGCAATTAATATTTAATACTTACTTTATGATGTCATATCAGTTTCGTAGATGGAAACTGATGTGGGCAGTGATCAGGGTAAGACTGGGACGAATGTGCAGCTTTATTTGAAATGTGTAGCGAGAATTTTGAAATGTAGCGAGAATTTTGGAAATGTGTGTGAGTATTTTGAAAATGTGTAGTGAGTATTTTGAAATGTGTAGTGAGTATTTTGTAATGTGTGCAGTGAGTATTTTCAAATGTGTAGTGATATTTCTTAAATGTGTAGCGAGTATTTTCAAAATGTAGTGAGTATTTTGAAATGTAGCGAGTATTTTGAAATTGTAGTGAGTATTTTAAGGTATTATGATTTTGAGTGACGTTTTCTTATTGTTTGTTATGTTTTCTAAATTATTTTTCTGGTGACCCGTACCTACGGTGGCCGGTTAAAATAATTTAGAAAACATAACAAACAATAAGAAAACGTCACTCAAAATCATAATACACATTTCAAAATACTCACTACACATTTCAAAATACTTCACACATTTCAAAATACTCACACATTTGAAAATACTCTACACATTTGAAAATACTCACTACACATTTGAATACATTACATTAAAAATACTCATTACACATTTCAAAATACTCACTACACATTTCAAAATACATTACTACATTCGTAATTCTACACATTTCTTCTCCTACACATTTCAAAATACTCGCTACACATTCGTCCCAGTCTTACCCTGGTCTGGCCTGCCCACGGTCATCATTAGTTTCCATCTACGAAACTGACATGACATCATAAAGTAAGCATATTAAATATATAATTCCGCATTTCACAAGGCAAACAAAATGGGACATTGGGATAATAGCATGAAAATATTGGCTCAACTCTAATCAGAAATTCTTCCAGGGTTTTGCTGGACTTGGTCGGGCAACAACATTAGTAGACGATCTACATATCGCCAGCAAATGTATTTGCAGTGGCTTTCGACACATGTCCGTACTTTAATAGCAAAAATTTGAGTATATGAATTTGCATTCGCTATGTCGCGTACGTACTTGTGTGATGCGTTACAAAAATAACAAGGAAACCAAAGAGGAAATTTACACATAGTGCTATAATTTGTTGCACAAGAAACGCCAAAGAAAATGAAAAGTTCGGTAATTTCGAGTAAACGCAATAAATTTAGAACTTCAATACCAGTCACGTCAATAAGTGCATTAGTTAAACTAATGATTGTCGAATATCACCAATACAAATACAATTACATGTAATCTGTAGATTGACCACTCATGTTGTGTTGTCTAAACAAGACCAAGAAATCCCTGAAGAAATATTACTAATAGTTCATGTACGCGTATCGCATATTTTGATGCTATTGTGGCAATATGTTTGTCTATGTGCCGAATTCACACAGACAACATATCGCCACAATAGCATCAAAATATCCTTACGCGAACTGAACTGTTAGTAATATCGGAAACGTATATTTATATTAGCTTTCTGCCATCACTTCAATTTCGTAGATGTAAACTAATGACGACCGTGGGCAGGCCAGACCAGGGTAAGACTGGGACGAATGTGTAGTGAGTATTTTGAAATGTGTAGCGAGAATTTTGAAATGTGTAGCGAGAATTTTGAAATGTGTAGTGAGTATTTTGAAATGTGTAGTGAGTATTTTGTAATGTGTAGTGAGTATTTTGAAATGTGTAGCGAGTATTTTGAAATGTGTAGCGAGTATTTTGAAATGTGTAGCGAGTATTTTGAAATGTGTAGTGAGTATTTTGAAATGTGTAGTATGATTTTGAGTGATGTTTTCTTATTGTTTGTTATGTTTTCTAAATTATTTTGTCGTGACCCGTACCGGCCACCGTAAATTAGGCCGAGGTTCTTCCAAAAAAGCCATTATAAGCGATTGTTTTGTTTTTGTGCTAGGCTGTGCGTTATTATTTTACTTTGTTGTAAACTCAACTCCAAATCGGTGTGACGATATGACGTCAAAATAATTTCCGCTGACGCTTTCTGTGCCCACGCTGCTAAGCCTCAAAACAACTCAAATAGCGCACTTGAAGACGCGATTTTGTCAAAAATAAAATAGCTGATGTAAAAATTTCATAATATAGTAACCTTTGCATAAAAATGGAACTTTTAAGACCAACATTATTTTTGGGTGGAGTTTCCCTTTAAAGTTTATACCAAGTTTGAAATACACGCAAAGCCATGGGCGTCATTTGTCATTTATCCAGTCTTGCTAAGATTATTCAAAATATTTACAATTGTGCAGGCAACAAATTACAGAGGGAGCTGAACTTGTCAAATGTATATGGACATTTGTTAGTGTACAGGAACTTGGTCACATCCTCAAATATGACGATCAAAGCAATTAAGATATCAATGAAAGACGTTTTCTGTATAAGAATTGAAAGTAGCAGTTTTTTATAAATTATGTTATGGGAATGGGTATCACAGGATAGACATTACTTCGTTTAGTTCTTATGATATACTGAAATCTCCCATCAAAAGAACTTGCAATATGATTATACCAACAACCGGTTCTGATGAATGAATCAAGATGGTATTTTGATAAAGAGTATCTATACGATTGGCTGGCGCCTCGCATATTTCATATAGCAAATAATACATAGAAATTTTAACACAATACAATTTACAAAGGTTGTACAGGGTCCAAATTAACCAAAATTATGTGATGACAACATACTTACGTTGGTTGGCCTGAAAAATCCCGTCCAGGAGAAACCTTTCCACTGTGTAAAGTCAAACTGTAGCCAAACATAGAATCTTCCTTTCCCGAAAACACCTTTGCATTTGTAGTTTTTATGTCAATTTGCTCAATTTTATAACATAAGCAAAGTGTAAAAAAACCAAATATATATAATACGTTTAAAACAGACATTTGAATCGATTGACAACTTATAACACGCATATATTGATTAGAATTTGAAATAAAGTCACTGCAACATGATACACTTCGCTCGTTTGCTTTTAAGATAATGAGTTTTCGAGTAGTAGTAGTTTCGTATGGTCGTCACTCCTCCATGTATGTCTCATGAAGCCAGCTTGTGTCTCATCAAGCCAGCAGATGTTGGAGGTGTGGTTCTGAGAGTTCAACATCGGAGTTCGGAGACCGGGTTTGGATCATTCTTAGTTTTCCTTCAGTGAAGTACTTAAGCCATTGAGTTCTATAATAACTCGAGGGGCTAACTTTACTGGGGCGAGGATGCCAAAAAAATGGCGGCCAAAGGACGTATTTCCGCTGAAATGATCGCTTTGCAGAAAAATAATATTCTCGACCTCCCCCTGGTGTCTATAGCAGTGAACTCGACATTTGAATAACTGGAATGATAACCGAAGCCAAAAATTGAAGCCAAAAAAATATTTGTCGTCATCATTCGTCATCACACGTCAGGCTCTAGTCTCTCGCGTGTTCATTTTAATTTTTTTAAATCATTTGTCCCTTGGTAATGGTAGAGTTCGGATCTTGATCAGAGCGTAAAAATAACGAAATTTTTGGAATGAAAAGGTTCACGGAAAGTGAATCAAAATGATAAATCGAGAAGCAGGGTGAGGTGAACTTAGTCGATCTGCTTTTACGCTGCGGTTTTCCTTTAAAACATATCAAAGTCTTTAAGGATATTCAATTACTGATATCGAGATGACAGCCATTTAGTATTTCAAGCACTATCAAAATCGATGAAAGATACAATCGCTCTGTAAAAAGTAAAATGCGAGTTATAGACTCAACATATTTTATGAACCTGGATATTCAAGTTTCTTTTTTCTTCGGAAAAACAGATCTTTAAATCCATTGAAACGACGAAAAAAGACAAACACTGTCTGACACCGTTCGAAAATTTACCTTCCGACGAAAGAAAAATTTATGCTTGAATATTTTCTCGTCATATTTTCTTATTGTATTGCCTTTTTAGCATACAGTGTAATTTTCAGTTGGCTTTTCCTCATTACAAGTTGTAAGTTACAACGAACTCACTGTAGTAAAGTTTTAGCTGTAAAAAATAACCTTTTGCGAAGAGTTGGCCTAGTGTGTTGTTTGTCGTGATGTTGTTTATATGTTTATGCTTTTGCAGTTTGTATTCAAATTTATATTGGCCGTGTATGTTTGGCACTCAGGGGAATGAAACTGACGTACAAGCCGCGTGAATATTCGACTTTGAAGGACTGGAACTGACGTACAAACCGCGCAAGAGACTATGACTTTGGCTTCAACTTTTTATCTATAAAATGTATTGTAGTTATCATTCCAGATATATATATATGGAGTTCACTGGTCTATAGTAAATTATAAAGAGTTTTTCAAAAACAAACACGATATCACAGAATATGGATATCGTTAGTTCCATATTCTGTGACGATATCGTTAGTTCCATATTCTGTGACGAAGTCAAAATGTGCTACAACTTTACAAGTATTTGATGCACTTGCACTTCAGAACATCACAAAAAGGTTACTTAAAGTAATTTCTATACAATATTGTTTGTTTTCATTTACCAAACCTATGCAGACTTGAGTCTTTTTGAAATTTCATATTTAACTCAATTACAGAAAATCCGTAAATATCCAGGGGCCGGTTGTATAAAGCTCTTAACTACTTTTTAACTACACTTTTTGCAGTTAAAAAGTAGTTAAATTTAACCACGCGGTTAAGTCGGTTGTATAAAAAAGTAATTAGCGCTAACTGCAGTTAAAAGGTAGTTAAAGTTAACTATGCAATGGAGCATAGTTAACTTATCAAAACACAGTTAAATATGGCGGCTTAGCTTCTCAAAGACAATTATGGGCGAGATGTTGTTGATCAACAAGGTTTTACCTTGAGTTTTTAATCACAAATGTATCTTCCATGGCAAAGGCTTTTAGAATAAGAGCTTTATGGACGGTGTACTACATTCGTCAGTGCTGTTAACATCCCAAGTTTTGCTGACGAAAAACAGCCAACAATTTACCCACGTAACAAATCCCTTTTTACACAAAAGCAATTGGATTTGTAGTGTCTTTTTTTGCGTCCGGTATCTCTTTCAACTCATAAGCGAGACTCTCAATTGAGATAGAGCCACTTATTTAAAATTAGTGCACATAACTCGCTGACATTGTCTTACAAATACGTACAATTCGTTCAATGACAAAAAAAAAGAAATAAAGTTATTTGAGCAACGAATCCTATAGCCTTGGATGTATCAAATATTCAAATTGCGTGTTTTTCCCTATGCATTTTGCCTGATTGAATATGATATGCATCATACACTCATTGCTCAATGGATAATAAGCTAGATTATGTTAAAACAAAGAGGTACCAGTGGCGTGGTGGCAGGGGGGGCCAGGGCCCCCCTAGCTGTTGATTTTGGGGGGCGCTGAATTGAATACGAGTCATCAAGTTTTAAAAATGGGCTATAAAAAATCAAAAACGCATTTGAAACAGAACAGTTATTTTCGCAGTTATATATTCAGTGAATGAAGTTAATTGAGGGAATTAGGGAAGAAAGGAAGTAGACAGACCAAAATGAAACCTTGTAAGGGGGTCGATTAAAGAATAAGATATTGACGAGCATTCTATAATTAGATGTTTCGTTTGTGGCCACAACGCCTGCATGATTTGTCACGATGACTGTAGACAACATACATGCAGGGGAGAAACTAGAACGTTAATTGGGGGGGGGTGAATATCATATATTCAGCTTTGCCCTGTTGATTTCTATTGAATTTAACATCGCCAACAAAAGAAATCAACAGCAAGGCAGAGCTGAATATTTGAATATTTACACCACCCCCTAATTAGACTTCTAGTTTCGCCTATGCATACACGGCCAAATTGTCCTCTTAAGCAACAAGGCCTTAAATGTGTAATTTTTGCCTATCTTAATCAATGTTTTTGCTTCCCTCACAGACAGTAATCGTTACTGGCATTGTATCTTATTATTAATCCAAGCGTAATAATATATTTTTAAAATGACAGTAGTGCAGTCATCGGTAAATTGCTATCATAATGCATAGTCTAACATGAAGTAGCCCTTAATGATACCGCAGCATGTACTGCATTGTTTGTATTGTGTTATTTACATTTTCATCGTTACGACGATTCATTTGTCATTTTCAGTAGTAAAGCAAGTTATTATACGGTAAAACATTTTATATCACTTAAAGATTTATCCGCAGTTATCGAATGTGCATAACAGCATATATTTAATTGAAATTAAGATATTTTTTAAACAACAACATTTGAAGACCAATTAAATTAATGTCTCAAAATGCAAAACTATCATTTTGAGCAGATGTAATACAGATGTAATTCACACAACAAACATTTCATTTGATAATTCCATTTGTGTTGGGAAGCGTATTTTAATATTATTTAATGTACATCATGGATCATGGTGCAATGTTAAAGACTAACTGCAATGTCTAATTCTTTCAACACCACGAAGAGAAAAAGTCGGGTGCTGAGTATCGAAGATTAAAGAAAGCTAGACAAGAAGAATTTTCAAAACTTGGGGGTTTTGCTTGATTACTTTAAACCTATACAAAATGACCCACCATGCATTTTGTCACAAACAACAGAGGAGTTAGAATTAAAACTCAGGGAAACGCCAACATCAGTGAAGACCTTAAACAAGTGCATGCGCAAGAAACATCTGAGTCGACAGATGTAAACGATCAAGATGAGCATACTTTCAAATCAATCAAAAGCAATGATCCTGTTGGTGAATGCCCTGATATTGACAGCTTTGTCAATTCAAATGAACGTAAGGAAGGCGAAGGCATCTCAGAATCTGCTGAAAATAATTGAATCGAAATATTTCTATTGATACGAAAGAAAACACGTTTGACCCTGGGACAGTTGTTGATCTTAATCTCAGCATTAGCGAAAAAAGGCGTTTACTTAAAATGAATCCATGCCAACCATCCCAGTTTGTTTTGAAACAAAGGAGGATAGTACAAGGAGATCACACACTGCTATTGCTCCCAGCAGGTTTTTTTCCACGATGATGGAACAAGACGAAAATGGATTTCCTATTCACTAAGTGAAGACAGCTTGTTTTGCATACCATGCATTCTGTTTACAGATGTAACGTCTAGGGGGGAAAATATTCGGTCAAATCAAGGAAAAGCTTTTGCAAACATTGGTTTCTCCAAATGGAAAAGCAGTATATTAGAATTCTGGAGCATGAAAAATGCAATTCTCATCTAAACGCAAAAGTTGCAGAAGCTCTTTTCCTTCAAGAAAACTCAATATCGGATCAGTTTCATCACCAGGGGAAAATCGAGTCTGAAAGACGTAAAAAGAAAGTCGTTTTAAACAGTTTTGAAACGTGTGATAGATGTTATTATGTTTCTTGGAAGACAAGGGCTTTCCTTTAGGGGTCACTGTGAATCACTGACAAATTTCTATGTTAATACAGGAAACTTTTTGGAAACGCTTAAATTATTGTCAGAGTACGATCAACCAATCAATGAGCATCTTGAGAAAGTTCGTGATCACCAAGTGAAGCAATCGACAAAGGATGGTGGTAAACTGATGAAAAAGGAATCAAAGGACGTGGCTCATGGCTAACGTTTTGAGCAACGATATTCAAAATAAGTTAATCAATATCATTGGTAAAGAAATATCTTCTGTAATTGTACAAAAAATACGCAACTGCAAAGCATGGGCATTGATTGCTGATACAACACCCGATATAACTCATACAGAGCAATTGAGTATATGCGTAAGGCTTGTTAATGAAACTGGCGAGTGTTCTGAACACGTTTTGTCATGCCAAAAAGCAATTGGAACAACTGCACATGACCTATACACTGCTATTACAACAATATTACAATTGCATGGAGTTTCATTTGAAAACTTGTTGCCCAAACGTATGACGGAGCATCCACTATGAGCGGATGTTATAATGGTTTGCAGGCAATTATAAAAAGAGAAAATCGGAAACCACATCATCTTTGTTCACTGTTATGCGCATACGCTAAACTCGTCTTTCCGATTCAGCTTGTGTTGCTATTGATGTCACACTCTTTTGACTCTGAAAAACTGCACGTTCTCTTTAATAATTCTCATAAAGTACACGAATTGTTTCAATTTCAAAAGAATGAAACCTCAAAATTTTTTCGATTAAACGTCTTAGAAAAAGTTCGATGGAATGCAAGAGAATTTTGTCTAAACGTATTTCTTTTGAGGTTCGAGTGCATCATGCGAGTGCTCCAAAAAGTAGCTGAGGAAAGATCGTTCACTGAAAGTCAGCGAGCAACAGCAAATGGATTGCAAGCAGCTTTTGACAAAGCAATTTGTTGCGACTGCCTGTCTTTTCCAAGAAATTTTGGAATCTGACCTTTAAGTCGATATCTACAGAGCGTAAATGCTGACTTTGGAAAAGCAATGGATATGGTTGATAGCTCAATTTCTAGAATTCAAATCATACGTGACAAACCAGAAAAATCATTGAAATGTCCGATTCTTTTGCGTTAAAACGAATGGAGTTTTACACGCCTCGTGTCGACGACCAATGGACGGAGAACAAGCCAGAGATGATTTGGCAGATTCACCAAAAGCACAATGGAGGCGAGACATTTATTTTTTTAGTGCTAGATTCCATTCAATTTCAATGAAGAATAAATTTGAAAAGAATTCAACCATCTAATGAAATAATTTGATTTATTCGCACACAATTAATTTGACGAGCTCTCTAGCAAGTAAAGACATCTCAACGATTTCAATCTGCATTGAAAGCCTTTGTGATTTGTATAAAATAGATTCCAAGATGCGCTATTGAAGTTTCAAAAACATTTAAAAAACAATTGCACAGTTTGACACATCAGAAGTGACCAACACATGCACACATCTTTTGAAACAATTGACATGGTGATACACATCAGAAGAAAAAACATTTTCTACACATAAGAAGCAAACAAATAATTTCTACACATCAGAAGAAAACAATTGCACAGTTTCTACACATCAGAAGAAAACAATTGCACAGTTTCTACACATCAAAGAAAACAATTACAGTTTCTACACATCAGAGAAAACAAATACACAGTTTCTACAATCAGAAAACATACACATTTCTCACAACAGAAGAAAACAATTCACAGTTTCTACACATCAAGAAAGAAAAAACAGTTTCTACACATCAGAAGAAAACAATTGCACAGTTTCTACACATAAGAAAACAATTTCACAGTTTCTACACAAAGAAAGAATCACAGTTTTACACATCAGAAGAAAACAATTTCACAGTTTCTACACATCAGAAGAAAACAATTGCACAGTTTCTACACATCAGAAGAAAACAAATACACAGTTTCTACACATCAGAAGAAAAAAATTTCAGAAGAAAACAATTGCACAGTTTCAGAAAAAACAATTTCAGATGAAAACAATTGCACAGTTTCTACACAGAAGAAAAAACAACTACACATCAGAAGAAAACACAAAGAAAACATTACAAACAAACATTTGTGTTTTACACATTAGAAGAAAACAATTTCACAGTTTCTACACATTAGAAGAAAACAATTTCACAGTTTCTACACATCAGAAGAAAACAATTTCACAGTTTCTACACATCAGAAGAAAACAATTGCACAGTTTCTACACATCAGAAGAAAACAATTGCACAGTTTCTACACATCAGAAGAAAACAATTTTCACAGTTTCTACATACTTGCTGTAAAGCAGTGATGTCAGTTCGACTTGGATGACGAACTTTCGATGATAGTTTTGATAAAACGCCGTGCTGGCAGATGTTCTGTTGGATCTTGGTGACATCATAAATAAATCGTCATCATCAGGATCACTGGGGAACATGTGGGATGACGGGGATGACTTGTTGTTCTCTAAATTGTTCGCAATATTACAACAATGCACAAAATTCTTCGTCAACAGTGATTAAAATAAACAAAATCATGTGAACATTCACCATAAAGAAAAATATTTCCAGACTCCAAGAAATTTTTGCCAGATAGTATAAATATTGAACAAACAACATTACACGAAAATAATTTCATTCAAAGTTTTTTCCATTTCAGCATTATACTTTTGATAAAAACTGATGATGATGAAATCAAGATATTTACCCTTCATTTCAACTGGTTTCTTTTTTTCATTAACAGAGGATTTATTTTCCAATCTGTTTTCAGCATTGTATGTATCATTGATTTCCGGTCCTCTCTTTGATGGAATTTGTCTGGTGCCTCGCAAGACAGCCTGTAATCCATTCGTTATTCTTGAATGAAAAGCATCTTGGTTCTGCAATAATTCATTTTGATTGAATGAAGAAGTCGCGCATGCGTATTTGAACTATTTTGTAGATTAACTTTGGCCAATGAAAGTAAGCACAAGAAAATTACAGACTTGACTGTAGTTAAACTATAAAAAGTAGCATGAAAAAAGTAGGAAACAGTAATAGTTCTTGGAGAAATAGGAAAAAATTATTATTTGTGAATATCAAAATATATTGTCTCATATTACACAATGCACCATTAAGTCTAAAGATAGAAATTTAACAGAAATACAAATTGTTCAAAATTCCAACAATTTCCACTTAAATTATTCAAAATAGGCAATACATACGGGAAACTCAGGAGCGACAGATGACTTTAGTTGTTCTTTTGCCAGATAAACCATTTTTCTTTTAGGATCAAGCTAGAAAAATATTCAAAATACATTAAAACAAATTCACTTGAGCCGCCAACATCTCAGAGACAAAGTTAAAGTGGAACTATGATCTTCGTGTTTTCTTTCATTTAAGAAAATTTGACTGCGTGGTGTGACTGTAAAAAGAAAAAAATCAATTCGAGGGACTATTTATCTTTTTATGGAGGTTTAAAAATGTCATTTTTTATTTCCGTTTTGTTCCACGGCGTGTTTGAGAGCGTGACGTAGATAGGGTAAGCTGTTCACATCTTCAAGCATGTGTTTGAATAACAAATAGTTGGTGAAAGTGTTTTCTCCTTGAATTTCTAAGGCAATTATGACAAAAAGGTTCGTGGCAGTTGGCTGTAGCAATTTTCCAGACAAAAAAAAGGGGGTATTTCAGTTCATCTTATACCATTTTTTTGGCGATGAGCGTGTCGAAATTTCACCGGCCAAATCTCTCACGAAAGACGTTGATTTTATTGAAAAGCTGTCAAATAAACAAATAAATATCTCAAAACCCTACTAATTTAGCATTTTTTCTACAATATGGTGTTTTCATGAATATAGTAATGCATCCAAAATGATCCGATGATAACACTATAAAAAAGATTTCAAACACAAAATCGTCAGTAAAGTGAGTTGGTAATTTATTGTTAATACAACTCCATTAGTCCGTTAACAATTGTTACTGTAATGGGTTATGTCTTAATAAAGTGCACACAAAAATAAATAATAAGTGTTGTTACATTTTCTTCTTTTGCTGCATACCAACGATAAATAGACGTAGTCGACTAAATCCAAAGAGAGACCATCAGCAAATATACCATCCCAAAGGGTTAAAATATCTTCCATCGTAGTAAACTTACGACCATACAACAATCGTACCAATCGTCTCGAATAAATCAACCAGAAAAACGATATAAAGTCTACAAAGTCGTTCTCGATGCAAAGTACAATCTTAACACACTTTGCATTTTCTACGCCTTTTAATTCGTACCTTCTAAACAAACCCCGCCAAAGTTTTCTCAATACCGAAATTCTAACAATGTTACAATTGCAAATAGTCAGTTTCTTTGAGAATGGTGCAGTCCTTCTGTAGTAATTCAGACAAAATTGAAAGCTGCCCAATGTCTTTCATAATGGCTACGTCTTCAACAAACTCTATCGTCTCCATTCGTTTTGCTAATCCAGCATAGGTTGCTTTGTGCTTGTCTTTAGACTGTGAAAGTGTAGAAATGCTTCTACATAGCTGGATAATTTCTCCAAAAGATTTCACTGCACGAGACGAGGATGCAACCCATCTAGTTGTCAAAATTTTGTCGACTTTGCGCAGTTGGTTATCCAGTTCTGCAGCAATAATTTTTAGTTCTCTCTGCAATTTAGCAGACTGAGAATAAATTGCATAAATCTTACCAAAGAATCTATTGAGATTAAGGTAACTGTTTTAACTGGTTCAAACGAGTTTTGTCTTTCTTACATTCAGAAAAGTTTATTAGTTTGTTTAAGCAATTTTCCTAAAAATTATTCTTCAAATTATAAATCTTGGATTTCTTCCTTTGGAAATCTCCCAAACTTATTTCTTAAAATAAAATCCACGAACAATACCAACAGCCTCAATAAAGTCCGATAAAGCCCGTGATAAAGTCCCAAGTCCGATCAGCATAAAATCGAGAAGATGGCAACAATGTGCTACAGTCTGAATATGCTCAAATAGTTTAGCGAATAAACTATCATTCTGGTAAATATTTTTTTATCGTGCAAGCACCTTAGATGTTTTTTTTGATCCGTCCCTAGTTATGCACATTTAATAGTAAGCTCAATTTCCTTGTTTCTTTAAAATGTTACTGAACTCATGAAAAAGCTTAAAAGTTTAAACTTTTATTCGCGACTGTAGGTAGGTCATAGTGTGGTATGCTTTATTCAGTAGAATTTTAGTCTTACTTGTGACGTTTCTACTAATTAGTACCAACCATTCGTTTGATCTCGTTCTACTTGTCACTTGGTTTGAAGAGCGTTACTCATACAAAATTATTAGTTTTAACATACAATTATGAAATATTACAGCTTTTCGAATAAGGCAAATGTTTCACACACATACAACCATGTGCTGGAAATTATTGATTCATTGTACGAGTTTTACGTAAATAAAATTGTCAAGTAAGTCTGCCGTACAAACAGTGCATTAATTACCAATAATACAAATTAAAGAAGATAAAAATCCTAATTAACTTCAGTCTGTTGTGCTTCATCTGTTTGCGGAGGTGATATCTCCTTTGGAGGTCGATTTCGTTTAAAGAATCCAAGCTGAAATACATAAAATAACTTGTAATGTGAAATCTATTTTAAAAATCATTTGGCTACTAAACATTCCCCGGAGATGTTTGTGAGAACTTTCGAACAGGTGCAATTTAAAAGCCTGTGCAAACACAGTAAATATCTTATATTCCTTAAATGCTACATGCAGTGCACGAACAAAGATAAGACCTTTCCATGAGAAAGAAAATTAAGGAGTATAGCGTAGTCTTGTAGAGTGGTAAAAGAAATACTACTAACCATAACAACTATGTGACTGTGACAAACACGAATTACGCGACATCTACACATGAGTAAGTCGTGGTAAAAATTGATAAAACATAAATGGCCATCCTGACTTTAAAAAAAAAATTACGACTGCCAAAGAGTATTTTGGTAAAACACGACAATAGACACTCCGCAAATAGTAAACATAATTTAATCTAAACGTTCCGACAAATGTTACATGCCATCTTCAGTAGAAACTGTTTGCTTTTTGGCCTAAACTCCGCGTCACTTATCCTAAACTTCACCAACTTGCTGTTGCTATTTTAAAAAACAATTTCTACTGAAGATGACATGTAACACTTGTCGAAACGTTTAGATTAAATAATGTCTGCTATTTACGGAGTGTCTATGATCTTGTGTTTTACCATCCTGAATTTATTATAGCAAATTCAAACCTTATTAACACAAAACTTTTTGCTTACTTTGAATAAAGCGAAAATACAAAGAGCCAGTAACAAAACACCACCAAGCACAGAGACAATAATAACCCACACTGGAGTTGATTTGGATTTTCCAGGAGCATTTTCAGGAGTTACTCGAATTGTGACCTACAATAAACGATATTGTAAAAAACAACAGTTCAAACAAACTCAGAACGCCTTCCTTAAGGGTAAACCTGTATGAAAGTTATCAAACATGTATAAAAATTCGCATGTTTAAGAAAAGTAAAATTGCTAACCTCCTGATGTCCACGATGAGGTGATTCGCTCTCATTAAGATTGTTGACATATTCAGCATTAAATTGGACAATCATGAGAAGATCTTTAGGATAATACTAAATCCGTATAATAAAGTTGCAGATATTAATGGCAAAGTTTTGCAAATTTCAAAAATACTTATGGCAAAGTTAGGTAGTTGATAACGCAAATACCAATATACCGCCATCAGAATACCGGTAAATACAGGTATACCGACATCAGAATACTGGTATATACAGGAATACTAACATCAGAATACCGGGACATACAGGTATACTGACATCACAATACCAGTATGTAAAGGTATACCGACATCAAAATACCGGTATATCGATAGTGAATTTAAAGTTTATTCTTTGAAAAATAAAAAGCATATAGCACGTGTTTCCACGAAAAAAAAACAACCAAAAAATATTTGTTTTTCAAATAGAATTTTGACGCCTTTTTTTAAAATAGGTATTTATGTATTTGTCTTTGAATTGCTAAACCAAAACTGCCGAATTGTAAGATGTATTTATGAACTAGGACAGTGACTATCGCCTGGCTGCATGTTTTAACTTTAGTTTGTAAACGTGATTGTGATAAGTTCTACTGGACGAAACTTTCATTTCGTTACTACGCAGTATAAAATACCGAAATATCCGTATTCATGTATACAAAATATCACCAAAAACCGATTTCAAAACAAATTTTGACATACCGGATTTCAATAATAAACTCTCATTCAACTACTGTCTGTGTTGGGAAGTTGTTGATGCAACACACCTCGTCAAAATATTTTGGAAGTAAGAAATGTATTGCCACAAATGTTCATTTATTTTATGCCTTACCGCAGCAAGAGTCGCAGTCCACAGCCGCACATTTAAGTCTGCCACAAAACGACCCTTTCTTTCAATTTCTTTGATTGTACAGGTCACCAGTCCTGAATCCATCGTCCGAGGTGACTAGAAAGAAGAAAGTTTGACAACAATGAAAAAAATTGAATCAAAGGCATTGCACCTGACTCGCGGATGAGATGAAAACAAAATCGAAGCAGTTTGAATGTTTTGATTAAAACAGACTAAGTAATTCATCAATATTACTTGATGAACAACGATACAGGCAAAAATAACGCGTTTTTTGTATTTGGCAAAACACATAATTTAGATTCTAGAAGACACTTTTAAAGTAAAGTATTCTTACACTTGAGAAGAACTCGAATATCTAAAGCTTTAGGCAATAAAACAAATAATAAAAATACTGTGGATAATTTATCTAAAAGTTCCAGTATACGTTGTCTGTTGTTATTTTGCCACTTCTAACCCGGCTGCAAAACTCCAAGCCATTTCATACAAAACGAGATTTAAATCAAAGTAATTGCACTATCGCCTCACAAACTTGGGTCAATTTTCAGATATTTTGCTTTCGTAGTGGTCGATCTTATTTTATTTAAACCATTGTCTAAGATAAACTGCAATCGTGACCATACCAGGGTTTCTGTATTTCTTCTCCGTCTAGTTCTTCCTTGCGAGTCCTGATAAAAAATATGTCGGTGACAAGGCATCCACGAATTTGAATTTTCTTAAAGTGCATATAAAGTGAAAGTTTCATACACTTGAACAAATATTCAGACTAATAAAATAGAGACTTTGTCGTGGTGACAAATCTAAAAATACGTCTAAGTGGTATTTGCTATCTTTAGAACTATTTTCAAATATTCAGACGTTTACAAGGATTTTGATATATTTATGACCAATACAAGTTGAGTGAAAAGTGACAAAGTTAAACACCCAAAGTCGTCCTCGCCTGCAAACTTTTGGCCGCTCATCTGACGTCACACAGAATACGGAAGTCGCCAAGCTAATAGTAACAGCTATTTCAATGGTGAGAATGTGTACTTCTTATGATGAAAATTTAGCTAACATAGCAGCCAAAAAGTTCGCCAAAAAATGTCAAAAATCGTCAATTTGACAGCTATAAACTCGCTCAGAAAAGACTACATTTGATTCCCTTTGCAAAAAACGGGTTTGACAGCAAGTACTTTTTACAAAGCCAATAAAAAAAGGGAACAAACACTTCACTAAGATAGCACTTTAAATGGCTATAAGTTGAATATAATTAAAATTAAATATGAGTAGAGACATAAATTTAACATAGAATCAAACTATGTGCTTATATTTAACATATTAGGTGTTTGCATCGGTCGTTTTGTTGGTAGAAATCCCATATAGTGAAAAGAATTTATGTTGATTTCATGTTCTGTTGAGCATTGGCACTTTGATAAAACGTAAGACGTTTTAATTCTAATAAGTTCTTGTTATTTATAGACACAAAGAACGGCAAACTTAAAAATCTGTAACCAGCAAATGTGCAACTCGCAAAAAAATAATTAAGCTAAATACATGTTTGTAGATGTAGATTGTCCAGGTTAGTATAGTCCTGAAAAGGACTGTTGTTGTTGGTGTTGACTGACGTTTCGACAACCTTAGTGGTAGTCATCCTCAGAGTCAAGATGAGCTGAGGATAATTTGACTCTGAAGATTACTACCGCTAAGGTTGTCGAAACGTCAGTCAACAACAACAAAAATAGTCCTTCTCAGGATTATACTAACCTAAACCATCTACATCTACAAACATGTAACAATATTCCCGGGTTCAAAGCATTTACTTGACGTTAAATACATCGCGCAGTCTCAAACAATTAGTTTATTCCTGGTTATCCTTACCGCAGTTAAAGACAGGTTAGCAGGATTCAAGGCTCTTCCACTGCATACTGCATTGTTGGCATCACCTCTTCCCTGAAACGACATACGTAACTTAATGTTCATTAAACAGTTGGTAAAGATGTAAATAAGATTGTTTACAGAAACGTCTTAAACCTAATGCTTTATATCAAAAATTGTATGTGTAGTTTACATCAAACAAACAAAACATAACATTTATGACATAGAAACAACAATTTCAACATAGCCTTGTAAACATTTCCACCATAGCCTAGCAAACTTTTCCACAGTGCTTTACAAAAACTAAACAAAATTAAACTGTGAACTCTCCCATTCCAATAATCCACTTCGATAAATTCACAGAAAAACATCGCCGATGTAAAACATTGTCAAAATAAAAATCATACAACTGCCAGAACTGACCTTAATACTGACAGGATACAGAAGATAATTGAATTCCTTGTCTTTTTCGGTTAGAGGGACGCTTATATGAAGTTTCACATCTTCTAAATCACTTTCACCTTGATTTGCAACCTAAATGAAGTATAAACGTCGTGTAAGTAAACCTATAATGAGATCCAAAACAAAAAATCAACTCAAAAGTTGACGGGCATTTATGTTAGGTAATATAATGCATGCAAATAGAGGTACGTCAGATGTCTGATTTAAGTCATAAAAGCATCATCAAAAAGTCATAGAAATCAAATGTATTGAGACAAGAAATTTAGAAATATTTTCAATGGCACCAAATAGCGAAGATAATTTTCTTTTTCATAGTTAGGAGGTGACCTCTAAAATGACTATATAACTAATTATTTCTTCGTTATACGGGATTATAGTTTTGAAAAGAATATTGGTGGAAGGGAAATTCATCTTCTCCTTACCTCGATGGTAATGGTTATTGGTGGTCCAATAGAAGAAATGTTCACAGAGCTATAGTCGTTGTCTATTATATTTAAATCAGGACCTTTTTCTGGATAGTTTAGTGACTTAGGAACAGTTGTGCTAAAAACACAAAGTTCATCTTTTAAATAAAATGTTTTAAAGTTTATTAGTTGGTAATATTGATAACAGTGGCGGATCTAGGGTACGTCAAAATATATAATATATTTGACCAAAGTCACTGCGTATCTGCAAAAAGGTTGTTTACGAGATGACCGATTTACGTGTATTTAAAAAGACAACGAGTGCAACGGTAGCTAAGTTACATCGATATCCAATGATTAGCTTGTAAAGAAACTTCTTTAGAATTCACAATACTCCTTAAGTTTTCAGACACAGCAGTCTTCTTAGTGAAATGCAACTTAACCAAACTTAAAATAAAAGCAGATAGTCCCACATACCCGGTAATTTCTAGTCTGACATTGCGCTTGACAATCATAGAAATGGTGGCGTTGTTATTTTCATCATTAATCTCGCTTCCGCTTAGCCTAAAACAAAGTAAAAACATAAGAAAGAAATAAAATGACATGTAATGTTAAGAATTAACATCACAAAAGCACATAACGCATTGATTGTATGAAAGAGTTTGCTAAATTCGAGGCTAAATTACAAAGATCGATAACCATCTAAAACAATGAAAGATCTCTTTCATTGCTTATTTATATACGTTACTGTACAAACACAACACCAAGCAGGAGAAGCGAACAACACTGTTCAAAAAAACCTATGTTATCATCAGGATTGAATAGATCAATCTCGTGGATCCACGTTTTTGTAAAGAATTATATTTCTCAAGAATTCTAATATTCAGAAAATTATATTCCTCGAGGATCAGTTATAATGAGGTTAATGTAATTGATCATATGTAACAAAAAATATTAGTTGTACGCACGGTTCAACGTAGCGTTTATAAAGCCACAAGAAGCATGTAACTTTAACAAATACTCCGTCTTATATGGCAAATAACCAATTAAAATATAAAGAAAACAGACTTACGCGTTCACCCTAACAAAAATTTCCAGATTCTTTTTTTTACCAACTACAGCGGTGGTCGAGTATGTAATTTCCAGTGTCACCTGTCAAAAAAATCTAAAGATGAACTACTTTACGCTCACATAGTTTATATCAGTTGTAAAACTTCTCAATTGAAAAAATACGCCGGTCGTGCATGTGCTACGCGCATGTGCGCCGAAAAAGTAAGCAGATCTTCTCCTGATCTTCTTTCCCGCAAGCGCCCCATTACGAAACCAGGGTCTGAAAATCGCTTCAAAAAAACAGGTACGCACTGCGTACACGTGGTTAGGCTAAGCCACGTATTCAAGTTCGAGTGTGTATGAGCAATATAAAATGATTTTAAATCTTGAAAAGAATGGTGGTTAAAAGTATTAATGTGATAAAGAACACTTGACATTAAAAAGTTAGAATAGCGTTTTCCAGTAGTAGTGGAAAACGCTACTATAAAACGTGTCGTTTCACCCATGCTGAATTTCTAAATGAAAGACATCACTTAACATCCAAGGCTGCTCCATTCCCCTGAACCTTTTTAGTTCAACCCCTTATTTTTATATTTGCACTTTTTCCCATCACTCTCCAGCCCATTTTATCTTGTCAACTCCATTTTACCATTCCTTACATAACATCAGATCTTAACAATAATCTGAAACCTTTAACTATGTAATGTATTAAAACTCATTTGCATTTTTGGTTTGTAGTTGCAGTATTTTCTAAATGATATTTTAATAGGAGATTTTTGTCGACAATTCTGTCCCGATTTGAGCTTAAGTTTTACCTTTGAATGCGGAGGAATTGTAAATATAAGTTTTATTGTAGTTATAGGCTATAGCTCATATTTGGACTCTATTATATATATAATTCACTGTCATTTTTTATGTTTAGTCGAACCAATAAAAACTTGAAAGAAAAACATATTTAGCTTTGCATTTTCCTGACTAGAGCATTGCGAGATACACAAATTGTGTACAAATATGGCGAATAAAGTCTTTTGCATAAGTCGCCGAAACGAGAAATATTAGATGTTTGTGATCTTCTGCAAAGCTTATACTTGTAAAATATCTTTAGCTGCTGAGTGTTAAATTCAAACTTTAATCAGTAAAATAGAGAGCGGAGTATACGCTAAAACGCAACCGTTTTGGTAATTAACGAAAATATATAGTGTATGCTACATCCTGAAGAAACATAGAGATCAATAATATGGACGTCAGTTGGCCTAAAGGTCGGATGTCTTTTGCGTAATAAAATAGTGAACAGCGCATGTGCGTGGCAACCCATAATAATATGCCTGTTCTTAAAAAGCCTCAATGATTCACAACTACTTCATACGAAACCCAAATGGCTAACCTTTTGATTTGGATTAAGGGGTCCTTGAAGTTGAAACAAATCGTAATCAGGTCTACTTAGTGTTGCATCTGGCACAATTCTAAAAGATCTCTATAAAATTGACAGAGAAAAATTCACAATGTCTACAAACAAATCGTTATCGTTCATTAATACATAGTTTATTAACAAAAATACTGAAACAATAACTTACATCGGATACATCGAAATCTTCATATTGTAATGACGGGTCATGAGTTAATGCAATGGTAGGATTGTACGCAACTTCGCCAGAACTGCTGAGTTCAACAGTCACTTTTCTGGAATTGGTTTCACCAATAATTATTTCATTTTCATCAACACTAAACAAAAAAAGTTACACACCAAATCAATTCAATCCAGTTAATACAAATAATGTAGCTGCTGCACACTAAAGTTAAGATATATGAGACAATGTTAGTGATGACAATATAACAACGATTCGCTACGAGCCTACGACAGTTGAAAATTTTGCTTAAACATATGTATTTAGTACAAATACATAAAATTAGTTAAAATACACAATAAAACTATTCAATGTTGACAAAGCTAAAAAAAGTGAACGAAAAACGTTTTCAAATGTATTTTGTTGTTGCTCCTTTTTGAACTTGTCTTTCAATACCTATTCAAGTATTTCAAACCAAACATGTTTTCTTTCAATGAGCTCAGAATGATTGATGGTCGCTCGGTATATCACCAAAAAAACTGGAAGCTACGAGCGACCGACGCTTCCCGAGTATTTGAGCCCTTTTCGACAATCTCCCCAGCGTGTAGTAAGTAGTTTTTAAATAATTTTGTTAAAATTTCTTTTGTTTTGAAAAACCAAAGAAAATCTAACACGCATAGTCGCGCAAATCTAAAAGTGCAAGTAAAGAATAAACGAAAATGTTACCTTATTGTCGTTTTGAGATCATAATTGCATTCGTTGTCAGTACAATTCACAATAATGGTAGCCTACAAACAGGTTTCTCAGTACAATCAACAATTCACAATAATGGTAGCCTACAAACAGGTTTTCTCAGTCTAATTAACGACAATGGTAGCCCAAAAACAGGTGGTCTCAGAAACAATTCACGATAATAGCGAGTTTTAGTTTAGCGTCTGCGGCAAACGATAAACCTCAACTACCTGCTTGCCGTTGAGGTTTGCCGTTTCGAAAAAACTTGAATATAGTTTGGCGTTTTGCATTTGTCTTTTATAATTTGCATTGTCAGGAGCTAGATTTCATGTTTTGTTATACGTTTGTCGATGAAAAGACATATTCGTGATGTATACTCACATAAAATAATTACATTGGGCCATAAACGTCACTTGGTGTATTAGTAGTAAAAAGCTTGCCGTACATCACCTACCGCAAGAAGTGCTTCATGCCGTTAAAACCTGAACCGCAACGTAAACTGCAAAGACTTGATCACGTGACATTTGCATTTTGTCGTCAACGCCAAACTAAAACTTTCTATTGGTAGCCTACATACAGGTGTTCATAGAACAATTCGCAAAAATGATACCCGGCAAATAGTTCGGCAGTTACATTGCGTAGTGATAACTTCACTCTTTCAATGTGCGATTCGCCAATGAAATGCTAATTGTTTTACAAGGAATTACTTTGCCATAAAACTGGTTATAAAACAACAAATAATGGCAAAAATTAGTTACGAAAGAATTTCATAAACCTGTTAATAAATCTGTGTAAATTTGCTCTGAACTTTTCACGGACAAATGTTTTAAATTTCCATAAAATCGGAATATTTAAGAAAAATTTAATCAGAAAATTATATTAATCCCTAGTACTACTAACAAAACTACTTTACAAACAGAAACTCTTCCTTACAAAAGTAGTAAGTCATATTCCAAATTATTCCTACCTGTTCCGTTCTAACAGAGCCTTTACTTGTATCCAAAACTGGACATAAAGTCGTATTTTCGCAGTTTGGTGGTAAAATTAGACTGTAATTTATTTTGAAACCGATGCTGTTGGCTCCAAGCCTCAATCGGTCCACAAGATTCTTTTCCTACAAATTCACAAAATGTAAGAAAGAATTTTAACGTACACAATGAAAAGAATTAGAAGTACTGCGATCGAACGTTTTGAAGCGACTATATGGGGTGGATGAAGCTGTTAGTATTTAAGCTTGAAAAAAAAGCCACCTTCACATTAATTTCCCATTAAACCGTTTGTATAAAACGTAGTTTTTTTCAAGATTTCGATTGATGAAGTTAACATTACTTCATTTGAGAAAGACTAAATGATTTTCTGTTGCAAGAACTTTGAAATACACGAAAAGCGCGTGAAAAGCAAAGTACTTGTGAGTCATGTAGTATTTTACAACGATATTTTGACATCCACATAAATTACATGATGTTAAAAGACAAAACAAAATATCAACAAACCCACGGCGACATTGAAATACATAAAACAGATCTCTGCAGCAAAACATATATGTTAATAGTTATAGGTAGAGTTTGAACACGTAAAATATTTTACGACACTTATTTGGCAAAACACTACATAAGGAATCAAAATTTGAATAATCTGAAAACAAGCTCATGGCATTTTGGTTCAAAGTATTTATTCGCTTGTAGAAACACACCAACAAAGAATCAATACGTAAGTGAAGTAACGTTAACAACCGTACAAAACCCTAATCCCCATACATGACTCCTAAAGTGACCTTAAAGTAAACACTTACTTTAAACTCCCTAACTTTGACCTTAACCCTAATAATAGTAGCCCCTTCAGAATAAAGTAGCCCTTTAACCATAATAGTAGCCCTAGTAGCCCTTAGCCCTCCCTTATCCTTACAAACCATCATATCACGACAGAAATATGACAATGACAATCTTAGCCAGCGTTCAGCATGAAAGCGACATTGGTGTTTGGTAAACAACTGTCTAGCCCAATAAGCACAACGACTAAGAAAGATATTGACTTACTTCAACATGAATCTGAGTGAATTCCACACACGACGTAACATTCTTGCCTGGAAGTTCTATTTTATCACGCTTGGAGTAAATTTTATTTTTTGATTCATTAAAATACACTCTCTTATTAAAATTTTGCAATGTTTGATAATCCAAATCGAACTGGTATTGAATTTCTAGGAAGAAAACAAACAGACTCAACTAAGTATGTCTTCTGAATGAAAAGATTTAGGTTTCTTTACGTAAACACAATGTACGTCAAAAAAATATTATTGCAATCCTCTCTTAACTTTTCAGTCTACAGCAACTTTCCACATACTCAACAGTGATTATTTATGAAAGAACAATAAACGCTTTTATGTTTTGACACAAGCTTGTGCAAAACCTATCTGCTTTTAGCCATATCGAAATTCCCTTTAATTTTACAAATTTTGAGGTTTGCAGCATAAAGTGTGATTTTCATAATATTATAACAACACAAAACCGTGACAAAAAGACAACGAATCTTTTAAAATAGGCATGTTTCGGAGAGCTTATGCTATCTTCGGTATATAAAAAAAATTATTATTCAAAGCAAGCAATATTAACGTAAATATACGTTTTAAAAGTAAAACTACTAAGCAACATGTTTATTTAAAGTTTACCAATGGGAGGTTCAATGTCCACCCGTTAGCTGAAAATCCAATCAAGTGAAAAAAGTTGCCTTCTGTCTTCATGCACTGTTGAGCATTGGTATTTGAAGTAAACCTGCCAAAATGGCTGCTTTGACATCATATTTTTACACAGTTGTGCCGACTAAATTTACATTTGTAGATAAAATGATAAATGCAGTGTACAGCTTTTGTGTTTCTGTTCAAAAAATGGAAGTTGTATATTCATATTATGTCAATAGTTGCGACTAGGGCCCTGTTCACACGATACCGGATTCGTTTGATACCGGATTACTTTTCGTACCGGATAGGCCTTGCGTTCACACGGCTCCGCTGCTATCCGATACGCTTTGTATCGTTTTTCCGGAGCAATTTGACTCCGCTGTGGAAGTAGTATGAAAACCAATCCGATACGTTCCGTTGTCGTGTGAACGCTCGAATCCGATACGTCCTACTTTGGCAACTAAGAAGTCCGTGCGATTTTTCAAAAATGAGAGCAAACATAGCGATACAAACTATGTTTTAAATGAATAATCCGCCAGCAAATATAATATATCTTCAACATGGCATGTTTAAGCTTTTAGCAATGTATTATCGCAGTGTGAAAAGCTTCTTTCTAGTATTATTGTAATGGCAACATATATTCGGTCGTATTTGGACTTTACACTCTTCCAGTCCTTGCGCCCATTCGTAAAAAACTTTAATACGCCTAAGAAAAAACTCTTCTTAGTTATCTGTCAAAAAAATTCTCATTTTCTTACGAAATATTTGAATTAGCAACCATCGTCGTTATCGCTTGCACGCACAAGTACTGGGGCGATATAAAAACTTATGTATCGTCTTACGAATCCGGCATCGTGTGAACAGAGTGCATTTTTCGTATTGGATTGCTCAGCGAATCCGGTACAAGACGAATCCGGTATCGTGTGAACAGGGCCTAGGTCTAAAAATATGACTAATCTCCTTCCATCTTTATGAATGATCACTATACACTTTCATAAACAATGAAGATCACAAAAGCATGCCAAAACATGTCTATATTTTTAAAAGAATCGTGGTTTATTTGTATGATTTGCACAACAAACGGTTCTGTAAAAAATATTTTCGTTGATCTTATTACAATGATACAAATGTTGTAGCAAAAGGGAAACGAAATGTCAACAATACACAACAATACCTTCCATTCCGTATAACTACATATTTGATAGTTTTGAGCTTTATTTTCACTATTGTCACTGACATAAGTTGATTTCGATATTCTGTCATGCAATTCTCTTCGACCAAAAGCAATTACAATCATTTGAACAGAAACAGTTAATCATCTAAACTTCACCATGCATACGTACCATAAGGACCAGAGACACTTTTGCCGATGTATTGGAAACACACTGTAACATCCAAACTAAATAAAAAAAAAGCTTGTTACAACAACATCACAAGTGAACGGACTCTTATGTTCTGATTTCTCTCATAATATACCTTTCTCATTCTCCACAACCAACACTTCGTCTGGTCAAATTTTTATACTGACATACAATACCGCTCGCGTATTTGTTAACATACGGTACGCGTATGAAACGCGTATGATACGAAAAACATACGCGTATGATACGAGAATGATATATGTACGATACGAAAAGGATACGCGTATCACACGCAAAATTATGTTAACAAATACGCGAGCGGTACTGTATACGTTAACATTTCCCCTTGTTGGTTTCTGTCCCCGTTAAAATTTCCCATCATAAACAACTCTCGATGCTTACATCTCCCTTGATCGACAACTTCCACAAGTGACATCTCCCCCAGGCTCGTAACCAGAGGGATGCACTGGTTACACGAGTTGTAGTCTCATTTAAAACACATTAACCAAGTTAAGCCAGGTTTATTGTTTACACATCAAGAAAAATATAGAGAATATAATTCTTACCATTGTATAGAACTGTTGGGACAGAATACGGTATAATTTTCCACAAGTATCTCCTTCCTGCTTAAAGTCAATGAAACGTCCAAGTTCATTATTGGGCGAGTCCTTAGAAAGTAAATTAACAAAAAATTAGTGATTATTGGGCTACTTCAACTCGAAGTAAAATTTCGTTCTTAACCTGACGCCGACGAACACAAACAATTTAATTGGTGAGAAATAAAACTTTCAATAAAACGTCAGCAAAATTTTAAAAGTACATAACCACTCAAATTATTTCCTACATGCTCAAGCTTGTTCATTTCTGAAAGCATTAAATTCTGACATAATTAAAATTCCATACAAAATCACTTTCTCTAAATTCACGTAAATTCAAATGCAAGCATTTATACTAATAGTTAACTAACTTGTACCATACATTTATTCAAATTGTTTACGTAAACAGTAGAAGACTGATAATTTCATAAGTTCCTTATAGATTTTTGATAGCGTTAACTAATTTATTTAATTCGTTGCAATTGGTACTGCTCTATGATTAATCATCACATATCCAATTCAAAAAGAATAAGTGAAAATACCTCAGCAAAAGAACTCTATCACTTTTCCATGCTCCGACTGCAATATCTATAGAAAAATTCTTTTTTTGAGTTTAGGAAATCAAAACACAACGCTGGGTGAATCTAAATCATAGATAAATTCTTAATAGCTTTAATAGATTTTAGCTGAGTCGTTTTATAGTACAATCCATTTCAAAAGTGTTTCTTGTCATTGCTTGCAACATTTTACTGTTCTAAAATTTTTTTAAGGCCGTCGAAACGGAATTGACAATCGCTCCTAGCCCCCATGAATAGCGACAAAAAATACAGCTGTACTTCATGAAAACCTAAACATGCATCATTTGTTAAATTAAACCGTGAATGCTGCATAAATACTCATAAAAACTATAAAATTTATAGCTTCACTTTGTTCTTAACTTTTAAAACGTTTTTCTTTTCACTTAACAAAAACCATTTTTAAAAGTTTTGCATGTTCAAGTATTAGCTATTTTCATGTATTACTTCAAAAACATAAAATAACTTGATAATCATTCATGACAAGCGAAAATAATACGACGTGCTGTTGCTAAAACCTGGATATAGATCATTGTTAGTGTCAACCATAGCCGCAAGAGAGTATCCAAACTGCTGAAAATTAGGATAAAACTTCTTGACTGTTTCGGCCGTTATTTTCTAAAGAAAAAATTAAGTGTAGAGCTAACGATAGAAAGTATCAATTCACACAATCCCATAGAATTGACCTGATAATAATTACGATGCACGCAAAAATAATTGAGTGTAGTGTTGTGCAAACTTAGCCTCAATTTCCGGGGGACAGCAGTGTAATTATTAGCTAAGCACTAGTACTGTGCTACATCCGTTCGCTAAACTTAAAACTAAAGTTTTGGTTAGTATTTAAGTAAAGAATAAAATACGTTAAAAAACATTGACAGTAAAATCACAAACTTGGATATTGAAATTTATACAGTTAACAGTTTATGAAAAAACCCCGTCCAGATTGTTACTTGTTATAAAAGTTGTGGAAAAGCAACAAAACCATACCTGCTGATAATCGTTAAATATACCATCCCTACGTCCATGATAAATATATATGGCGCCATTGCCAAAACCATCTCCGTCAATATCTGGTTGATCTTGAGGTGCTCCAATAATGAAATCTGGTATAAGATAAAATCACAACAAGTGAGATCAAATCGATCATTAAACCGTTTTAAATAACTTTAAAAGTCACAAGTAGCTTTGTGATTAGTGTTTTAGCATGGCTATATGTATACAAGTTGAAAAGTAAAACAAAGAAATTTCACACGAAAAAACATCCACAATTTCTTAGTTCTTGTTGTCTTTAACAACTTATAATCGACATCATGCTATTAACCTGCACAACAAAAAACAAATAATCAACCGCATTTAATTGTAAATATACCTAAAATCCCATCATTATTAAGATCTCCTGCGCGTGTTATGGACCATCCAAATCTTGCCCCCATAGTGTTACTGCCCGTAAACCAGGATCTTGTCGCGTTTTCTCATTAGGAGAAAGTTCAAGGATTCGATTCTAGAAAATATAAATGTTAATGAACTCCAGCTTCACATTATTTTGAATTTTAGATACTTTAGCACAGTACATATTTTCCCTTGGTTTTGAATTCGCGCACCAAGTGGACTTATACTCGTGCAGAACATTTCTTATGTTTTGTCTTTTTTACTACAGTTAAATTATGCTGTACTTAAAACTTGTCATTACAAAGTTGTATAAATTATATAGCACAGAATTTTGCGTGAAACTTAGCCAAACTTTTCACCGCCCAATGTAGGCACAATTTTTCCTTAACTGTTTCATGCTTGTAAGACATAAGGTTCAAGAATCCAGCAAATACTAAATGAGTATAAAATAGTGAACAGTAATTTACCTGAGTTAGTACACTAAGATATACGTAAACACGACCTTCATCACCTCTGTCGCTGAAGAATGGGGCTCCAACTAATAGATCAGAAAAACTATATCAAGGCAAAAAAACAAATTAATAAAAACAAATTGGTCCGCTTCATGATCACCGATGCACTCAGATTCATGAATGTCATAAATCACGTGTATGATTCACCCAATCACTAGAGTTACTGGAAAACAAAGCAAGCTAAATTTTCCATGACATGAAGTATCAAATTCTTATAACTGTGAATTAAGGAGTATAAAGTTAGCCATTTCTATTATGATTTATTATTATATGGCAAGCGTCACTTCAGGCTAAATGGCGCGCTTTGATTGGCTCAGAAACATTTTTGCCGGTCCATTATTTTCTCGCAATCGACTACGGTCCAAAAGACGTAATTTTACAGTAAAATGTAAAGAAATTTCAAACAGCAAAACGCAAAATAAACGAAACAAAAAAAAAACATTTACGAATGTGATTCGAAGGAAAAACATTTGCAAAGCAGTTAAACTATCCAGACAATAAAATTTGAAACGATTTATTTTCTATGAACGAAAACTATAAAAGTGAAAGCCAACCGGTAAAAAAACAGCAAGGACGAGAAAGAAAGCAAGCTTCGTTTCAGGTCAAATAATGCCATATAATAAACCTTTTAATAACCTCGCTTTCTCGGTCTTTACTGAGAAATATCGGACCTCTGTCTTTTTGTACAAACCTCGCTCTACGGGCTCGGTCTGTACAAAAACACCTCGGTCCGATATTTCTCTGTAAAGACTTCGCGCTCGGTTATTAAAAGCTTAATAGTCAACAATCATCTACTTCCTTTAATTTGAGCTCTCACACACTTGAAACACGCAAAAACATTTCGTATAAGAAATGAATGAAAAAGCAAAGCTAGAATACATACAAAATTATTTTTTCTCATGCTTTAAAGCAAAATACGCGAGCAGTATTGATCCTTTATGCTAAAAATAATTTACCCATCAGCGTTTACATCAATTCCACAAACGGAAGCTCCAAAGAAGATAAACTCATTTCTCTAAAAAACAAAATAACTCATAAGACAGTGACGCGATGATCTCAAAACATCTCGTGCGCAATGCTCATAACATAAAAATATCAACTTTATGTACAATTCGATGAGCACTTTGCTTGAATAAGCTACAACTTGATAAAAGTACAACCTCGTAGTTATCTGTATAAAGAACTGATCTTTCAAACTATTTAATAACAGTGGAACTGTAACTTTATATATTTCTTGTTGTAGCTCACAACTGTACATTAACAGTAAAACTATAGCTACCGAATTACTTTAATTAGACCACAGTCACGTGACACACCCCTATCCTCTATTTCCCACTCTTAGTTATTGAAAAATCACTAAGAACTCAATCTCTTGATGAAATCATAACAAAATGAAAACGCCAATTAAGCTTTATTTGTTGATAAAGGCATTGAAAGTTACAAATGTCAAAATAAAAATAGTCAATTGCTTCGTCTTAAAATTTTCATCAAATTATAGTCATGTGTTACAATTTTTGTTTTTCAACTTATGTATTTACTGGATTGGGTATTTTAATAAATAGAAAAATCTTTTCAAGATATTGAATCATGTGTTGCGGGATTAGCATGCACTAGTAAGTTTGCATGAAAAATTAACTAGCTTCTAGCCTGTTTTCAGCCCCTCTCTTATAATCCCCACTTAAAAGGTAAACCTTCGGCTAACTCCAACAATTTTTTGTTTCGCTTTTTAACAAATCAAGTTCTGTTGTATATAATTTCATCCGAGGTAAATGCACTATTTAAACATACGCTAATCAACTAACTATACTTACTTCTTGGACTTTTTTTGGTGGAGAAATAAAAACCAGAACGGAGTCCAAATTTTCACGATAAACTCTAACCTGTTATAACAGTGAAATATAGTAATTTTGTAGTAAATACGATACTCCCATTGTTCAAAAAGTAGATGTGTAGTACACAATTTACATTAAATCATCTATAAATAATGTGTGTATAAGTAACTACTACCATGAGAAAATCAACATAGTGTATCAAAAATTCCTGAAAATTTTATGAAATGTTCAGAAAGCTATCATTTCATCAAAATTTCTAAATTTTTAAATTTTCTAACTTTTCTACGTGCACCCTGTATACCTGTGCAAACGAAACTAATGAAAAATAAAAATCTAGACTACCCAGAGATGAAAGTAATGTTTAATGATTTAATTGTCAACGCTTCCCTTGCCAAACGTGAAATGTAATCCTTATATAACTTATAAATTGCAGCATATCAGAATTACATTCATTATAAAAAAAATGGGAAAAATAAGAGCCCCGCACGTTGACAATTATAAAAAATTCAAACAAACAAACCTTTCCTGAATATTCGAATCTTGGGTACCCAGATGCAATTGCTAAACAAAAAAATATGAATTGCATGATCATTTCTGATTCGAATTCAAACTTTTGAATCCTAAACTGGCCACAACAATTTCTTGCAAATTTGAGATCTATTTATAGCATTTGTTATAACATTTTGTTGTTGTAAGCAAGATTACTAATGAAGATATTTTTGTGTGTATTTACAAACCTACAGACAACAGAGAAAACTCGCATATGAAGTCACCAAAACAAAACATAGGAATGCCAAGCGTACATGCATTTTACGTAAATATATTATTGTTCAGTTGAGAAGGAAATAAAATGGTTTTAATAGTGATTGTGAATTCCGACTATTTAAAATGAATAAATCAGACCACAAAATTTCGGAGTTGACGGAGATAGAAACGTTCGCAAGACAAATATTTGCTCACATTTTCAAGAGAATAGGATTTTAAGAAACGAGATTTGTTTGTGCAAGGATTGAACTTTGTCCGCTCGGCTTAAACTATTCAGTCATAATTGCGATTTAATACCTCACAGCATGTATTTTTATCTTCTATTTCAAAAACCTGCCGGTCAAAATTGATTTTCTTTAGTTTGGCATTATATAAAAGTAATTTTGTCCTTACTTTCTCATACAAACAGCGTGTGTAACTGTTTCCAAAATATACCAAGATCCCAAAGCGGCAACGACAACATCAAAAACTATACCTTTATGTTTTACTAAGTTAAGAGAGCAATAAGTTGCCATACCTTCTTGATTTAACGCGAAAAAATTCCCGGTGGTGACTGAGTAACCTAGATAACATTATTTAAAAATTAATAACTCTGATGAAAAAAAAATCATCAGACTTTTCTCATAAATGATGGACAGGACACAAACGATTCTAAATTTCAAATCTGGGATCCAAGCCGTAAAAAACAGTTACGCAAAGACACAGCCCAAAAGCAAAGTACTTTAAGATCTTTCCCGAAAGTCGACTTATAAACTGGTTGAATAAGAAAAATAACAGGACCAAAAAAAACACAATACCTACCATTGTAAAAATTTCCATCTTCTGGAGGAAACGGTGCCCACGTATAGCTAAATCTCGGTGCTTCAAAGCCAACGTTTCCTTAAAAAAAACAGTTTTCAATAAGTGTAGAAACAAAGAAATTAAGAAATGACAATGTTTTCTTCCAGTCATGTGATTCTGTTCACGTGAAAAATAACACAGCAAAGTAAACGAGCCATTCAAATTAAGCAGATTCAACCGACAAAACTGGTGCTTAAGTTTATGTGGTTAGAGTTGAATTTCATATTACTTGTTTCGGTTGAAACCCTATAAATGCTATAATGAATACTATTGGTCAAATGACGATATTTCGTCGGTGTTCCTGAACGGTGAATTTTGAAACGTACAATGATCATTGAGGAGATGGTTGTTTGCTATAAAACCTTACAAATTTAATAAAAAGTCATACACGAGTGATAGCTAGCTACTCATAAAACTTTCGAAATGATATTAATTGAACAATGTACGGCTTAAATTTCCATGGAAGTTTTTGTGGTTCAAATAGAATGTTCAAAAGGGAAAGCAAAAACTGCACAAAAACTACCATATTTGTTTTTGAAAATGTCGGTTCAGGTTTAAACCATTGAGGTCTACTGAAATCTGATAATGCCGTTGATGCAAAAATTACAAGTTTACAAAGCCAGGTCCATATCAATTTAGTGATGAATTGTGTATTACCTCGCTTATTGAACGTCACCGCACCCATAACAACCTGTTGATTCTTTTTTAACGAAGCAGAAAATCCAGCTTGACAATAATCAAAATCTATAATGATAAATATGAGTTAACCGACATAATTCAGACAATCATTGGTAAAAACCTTCTTTTTCGGCTTTCGTAACAGACGTCTTAATTTACATTGTCCATTATACGTATTGTTTCTCAAAATAAAACTATCCAATTAAAAAGAATTTACATCGTTTGATTAGGTCATTTCTCATTGTATTTACACAGAGTATAGACAGAAATCCCTCCGTACCCAACATTATCACATCAAAAACATCACAGCGGAGGAACTAGGCTTGCATGTTTAACGCTGGTGTAGAAAAATCTTTTGAATCAATTCAACGCTTTTATAAACATTGTTTTTAGCACTACCGTAAATTTCTTTCTCAAATTTGCC